ATAAATTTGAATAAAATCTGGTACACTGAGTTCTTTAATTTCATGTAAACCAAACAATTTGAATTCTCCATACTAAAGACACTATTGCTACACCTCGTGATTCAGGGTAAACTTTTGCTTAGTTGCATGAGAGATGCCTCGCAGCAATACACTGTGTCTGATGGATAAAAAGGTCACAAAGGAACAAGTCCATTCCAGAGACGGTGGTCGATATGCAAAGGCTTGCCCTGAATCAAAGGTATAGACCCCCTGCGTATGACGTCACATTAGAGGGCATTTCTATTTCCTTTGGGATAGACTCAAGTAAACCTTTTGTGCATTCATTGTAATTAAATTAAAATAACAAAGAATAGCCTCCAACTCCGCCTTAACGCAAGGGGTCTGACAACAGTGCCTTAAGTGTGGGAAATTCAAATTGCTATCTTTATGTACATTCAGATAACTCAGTGTACCAGATTTTATTCAAATTTGACTTGAATTGAATTCAACTTCAATGGCACTAACCATGCTAACTGTATGTTCTAACTTAAAAGAATAACGGCAATGCATTTACACACATTTACCTGTTCAGAGGAATCTAACGAAGTACCAGGCTTGCTAACACACTTCTTGAAACACTTGTCTGTCATTCTCTGTTAAGTGCAAATGAAATGGGAAATCCATATTTAGGCCTAACTTTACCTCGTAAAAAAACTAACAATAATTTTTAATATGATTGTCACTAAATTAATCAGCTGATGAAATCTGGTGATTGGGAACGTCCACAGCTAGTTAATGATAGACGCATTTATCATTTAACATCTTTACTGTTGATAAATTGGCAGTCCACTTATACACAGAAGTGATCATAATTATGTCTCGTGAAAATTGTACCTCTGACAACTGTAAGTGTCGGGAATAAACTACTTTGGATGTAAAAGTAATAAACGCGCAACATGATGATGTAAGTTGTAACCTTGGATGTGTACAAACCTGAAGGAGTTCCTGAGCATTTGCTAATGCAATCTGCGTCTTAACTTGCTCCATAATCTGCCCCCTTTGTGCACTATCAAGTTTTCCTCCAGACGGCTGCGATGAAAACGAGTCCATTTTGGAGACTGCAAGTTTTTAAACTCCCAACTCCTGTCTGAACGCCGTGGCAAGACTGTGCGCACACGTGAATTCTGTACAGAATGTGAGACGCCCCCTATCGTACCGATAAGACTAGCTGCTGCATACAGCCCTGGACTTATTTTCAACCAAGGCGGGGCTTCACGGTGAACAGGTAGCTCTGGGTAAAGGTTCGCTTTTGTCAAGTGCTGAGGTCACTATATAACTTTTTCTATTAGATATTCTTTCACGGTATGTACAGTCATTAATTCTCCAAACAAAATACATGTACAAAACACTTGTTCATCTAGAAAACACGACGAATGGGACAAATACAGGGCCAAATTATTTGGTAATTGCCAAATCTTGGTACACGTACCAGCTCCTCAAAACTGCAACTTCACAGAACAAACCCAAACCATAATTTCTTTGCCAGCTTTGTAACACCTCCTCTCATTCAAATTATTTTATTTAAATATCATACAGCAGTATAATTATATCACCTTCAGCTTTAATTTTCTTAGTAAAATATCTTTCAAAATATTAATCACAAAACAATTACTATCTCATTCAAAAGCAAAATATTTTGTGAATTAAGACCTATACAAGAATGAGGAGCAACAAGAGAAGATTTAACATTTCCATAAATGTTCATGAAGATGTATTCTGCCAGGTATTGCAATTTATACTCTTCCTGAAAGACAAAACTTCTGAATCAATTTAACTTGACTTTTGGTGAGCAAATCACATCACCAAAGAAAGATAGTGGTACTTTCAACTTAGCAATTTGGTTTGGTTGGGTAAGCTTAAAGTAGCAAGAATGAATTAGAAACAAGGGAACTAAACAGTGAAAGAGAAAACAAAACAACATGTACATTCTGGAGGACAACAGACCTTGTCAAGTGTGGACCCCTAAATTTCTTGCTTAAAAATACTGAAAAATGAAGACGGAACACAGACATCAAGAAGTTTTGAGAGCAAATTCTTCAGGAGCCATCAAAATCATCAACAGTTCAAAAATATCACACAATGCAGTCTCTTTCTTTTCTCCAATAACTTCCTTCGATTTTTCCCCCTAAGTTTTTAAAGTCCATATGCATCCACACAACAAAAAGATATTTGCTATTCAATAATATTGTGTATTTAAAGATCTACACTGCTGGCAACAAACCTCATGCTAGGAAGCAGTGTTTGCTCTTTGAGAATGTTGACGACATCAGATGAGTCTAAACAAGCCAACTTTGTGGCAACCTGTCCTCCATCCCTTTTGGTTACCAGTGTCTTCCGCATAGCAAGGCTTAATATCTCTTTTGCCAGGTAAGTTTTGAGTATTAGGAAAGATTCAACCCCCCCCTTCCCGTTTGTCTCCTTTTTTTTTTGAATCACTGACTTCAGGTTCTGTCTCTCTGCTCAGCTGTCTGTGGTTGTGTCTGGCTTATCCTTTGACAGCAGGTGAACCAAAGTCAAACCTCTGAAGCTTGAGAGCTGTTTACTACAATTAGCCACAGCTGTATAACGAGAGTACCACCAGCTTCAGATTTTGGAAACATAATGGCTGTTCATTTTGTGTACAGTAGAGCATTCAGCTTTTGTATACAACTGTCCCCGTGCAGTGGTGGCTGCCATTTTGTTTCCAACTATAGTGACACTCATGTCACAACTCTCTCTGTACACGGCTCAGCAGTCAGCCAAAAGGTAGAGAAGGAGCTTTTCCTAATTACATAACAGAACGCGAAGGGGGAAAAACCTAATTCTTGCTTCCTTGAGATACTCTGTGATTGGCAGCAGTTTCTACGTTTGGGAATTCTGGATATACTAGCTTTGTGCAAATTACTTGATAATCACACTACTAAATATTTCAACTGTGAACCAGAAATGTATTAGACTCATAAGTAAAAACTGATATGTTCCCACAGATTATTTTAACACACTCTTTCTAAATACCATTTCATTATTGTAATTTTTGGCTACATCTGGACATTACGAGTTTATGAATAAAAAGAATAACCATTTTGGTGGATGCATTGCTTAAAATAATGCATCCAAATATTACAAATCTATAATTTATTAGCTCGGAAATATGTACAATGTATTACTGACATCACTGGAAAATAACGCACAGATCCTAACTTTCATGTTTCATGCAAAACCCCTCAATTTTCTCTAACGGAAATGCATGCTTGCTAAATACCTCCATTTTCCAAAAAAAAATTTCCATTTTAAATTTTACCTCTCTGAGATGACTCAGTTCACACATTCATCCAAGACAACATCAAACTAATTCTGAAACGTGTAAATAAACCCAATCTTTGAACAGCCTATCACAAATTTCAAAAGCCAAATTTCACAACATACAAACAGTGCTGGGCATTCCATTCCCAAGTATGAAATAAACAAGACCCCAAAAAGGGGCAAATTTTCCAAACAAATGCCCAGGCTAGTTTTAAAAATGATTATATACAATGCCTTCAACCCAATTTGGAATCTGTTGACCTTCTGTTGCTGTCAAAGTTGGAAAAGTTTCTAACTTGAAACTCTTCGGCTCTTGGCAATTGAAATTCAAAAGAAGAAAACGGTACAGAGTTAGAATAATTCTCATCAGGGAAGAGAGCAAGTTGATGTGACTCTTTTTATCCACTGAGGCTCTGCACAAACCCACTCACAAATTCCTGCAACTGCTCTAATTCTATGAGGTTCTTGCTTCAATTTTCCAATTATGTACATATTCCTGTCATAATCTAAGGCACGTTAAGTATTCCTCAAAGTAGTTAAGTATATTTGGTGGCTGAAATGGAACAGTAATTTCTTCTTGGAATGGATCTCAGGGATGGAAAAATATACACTTTCAAATATAATAGAATGGTTCGAAGCTCCACTTTTTTTAATACAGGGGATCAAATAATTTGTGGAGAATGCAAGATGTTTAATATTGGAATACCTGCTCCAAATGTTTGAACATCTAACAAAATACTTTTTAACACTGGGTAAACAATATGGGAGAAATCCCTAAAGGCTAGGTTCCCAGACCGCCTTGTACATGTTTACAATCCCATCGGAGAAATCCATCCCATGTGCTACCCTTCTAACCCATCGGGCTCCGCCCACCTGTTCCCCTGGATCAGCAGCTAATGTGTATGATACCTATACAGTTTTTTTGTAATCGCTAAGGAGTGTGTCATCACTGTTTCTCCAGGACCAGCTTCTTGATGCGGTCAAGCTCCACCTGCATGGCCATCCGGTGTTTCTTCTCTTCGTCCAGCTCTGTCATCAGGTTCACCACTTCCTTCTTGAACTCTGACCTCATGCTGGACAGCTGCTCCTGGAGGGACTTGACCTCCTTCTTAAGTTCTTCCACCTGGGAAATCAGACGGAGTTGAAAATCACCTCTATCAGTGATGCTCAGCCTCAAGTGGTAACCAAATGGGGGATTTTGTTACTATGGCTGAGTTATTTGCCACTACAGGTCTGTGATGAATAGCTGTAGCCATAGACAATAACATACATGTAGGACACAGTCTCTAGAGCTGTGACTTTAGCAGAATTCCTAACCAGGTAGCGTGCCCAATTACAGCCTTGGACTTTAAGAAACTGTCCTCAGTGGTAAAACTGTAAAGCATTATTCCTGATATTGGACACTATCTACTGACATGTAATAAAGAAAGGAACTGCTCTTTCTAAAGGATCATAGATCCTTGGACTCTATTCAAGGGATCCTTTGGCACACTTCCCGGTTCTGTACCGAAGCAGGACTGTTTAGCTAACTACAGGTGGAAACTGTGCTACCTCTGTGTCTATTTCAGGTGCAGACTTGCTTTGCTTATGTACAGAGAAGGCTAATGTTGAGTCCCCATTAGACAATCTTTTCCTATTGAACTTTGCGTACTTTTTGTCCCACTTTCTTGCAAATGGCAGAACAGAAATAATGACACCATTAACAGCATCATGGGTCCTCGTTGCAAATCTTTTAATTCGTGTTGTAGGACTCGAACTCAGACTCAAGTCCACTTTTTGACTGACTCATACTGAAGACTTGGAAGTTGTAGATTCGACTAAAACTGTGTTATTTACTAGTGCTACAATTCACCTGCGCACTGGAAGCACCTCCAGCCATGTCAGAAACGAGACTGGTGGGCCTGCTTGTAGCTGGGCTCGGGGAGGGGCTGATCTCTGCTGGGCCCTTGGCTGTCTGGGATGGGGTCGGTGCTCCTATTGCCGTCGTTGGACCAATTGGGGAAGACTTGGGCCGGGGTGGAGGCGCTACGGTGCCATTTTCGACGGGCGGCTGGAGGGGGTGGGGGGGGAAGTGAAGGGAAAATTACATAAAGTCGACCTCTTGTTGTGTGAGTGATGAAAGATGTAAACTTTGTGACCTTCAGCTTACATATTTAAAATTCATTTTGAATTAAAAGTGGTATTAATTCTGACGAGAATGAATCAGGTTTCCAAAAGTGTCTTTATTTCTATTCTGCGACTGTAAATAAACAACAGATTTTATGAAAATGTATCTAATCAAAAGAACACTTCTCCAAATATGTCAAACCCAGCTTTGCTCCAAAGCATCTGATTGCACTATACACACTTTTTTAAAAACATCTTCATAAATGAAGCCACCGTGTGATTACTTGAAGACTTCAACCAAAAAAAAGGAGTAAAAAATGTATAAATACTAATCTCTGAAGCAACAAACAAAAGCAAAATAAAATCTGGTGAATACTCAGGTTAACAAACAAAAGCGGGAAATAAGTCTAAAAACATGCTGAAACTCAAAGTAAACAAAAAATCTTCTTCTCCTTGTAAACAGAATAAAATGGCACTTAAGCTTGCAATTTAAGTTGCTATTCCTAAGTTACCAATCATACTTACCTTCCAAGAAAATCTGTGTACTCAGCATTATTAAGGTAACAAACAGGTATACAAAAACAACTCAAGCCAAGCAATTCAGGGTTGTCACATGGACTTTGGGAAGAAATAACTACTGTATGCCTCTCCTTCCAATGCTGTCGTACTGAAGAAAATTGCAACTGTGATAGTTAACCAGAATCTGAAATGCTTTGGGAAAGTTTCAGGCTGAATGCACAACCAAGAATTCTGTCGGAAGAATGTGTTTACCGTGCATATTTGACCCAACTTGTGTTATGGTACTTTAGACAAATGCAGCGCTTGTTGTGTAAAGCTAAATTCTCATTTCAGAGTGGAAAACGGTTGAAAATAAGTATATATGGATAATAATAAAGCTGAGTGCAGTTTTATCAATAACCCCACTAAAAGTTTCCTACTCATTCGTTTAAAACTCACGTACATGTGAAAACTCGGCAAAATTTTAGTGACAACCCTGTACTACTGACACCTCTAGCCACGTCCCTAAGCTTGGCGGTGAAGTTAAAAAAAAATGAAAAGTTGGGGGGGGTTGTTCTGGAGCATCACCTGGGGTTCTTTGGCCAAAGGGGAAGGCCTCTTTATTGACCGGGCCTTCAGCTCCCGAACCCAGGGGGGTTGGCTAGCATTAGTAGGACTAGTTGGCGAGGTTACGGCAGCGGGTGGCTTAGCAACAGGGCCGTCGGGTGTATCGGCATTCTCTTCATGCGTCTGTGCTTTGAGTCTCTGCATACAGCGACAGGGGGTTAACACGGATGTGAGACCACAACAAAAAACTAGCAAAGCCAAAAAAAATAAGGAAAGAAAAGATACATTGGAGGAAGCATGCACATGCAAATGAACAAAAATGGCAATGCACTGTGGGTGGTCTCTTGCATGATGGGTGAGGGCTTCGAAAACAAAATGGCAGACATGGAACAGCTGTGAGGAAACAACACCCTACATGCACATGTACAAATTTTGAAATGGCAGTAATTTTGGAACTATCAGACCGATGTAAAACAAGACAAACCTGCGATTCTACGACTGGAGGGCTATGAAATGCCGTGGGAAAGACAATAACACAGGCTTGTGAATGGAAAGGTAAAATCAAAAGTTAAACCTCGACGGCAAATGATAGAAAAAAGTGAGAATGCGAGGGTGAAAGAAATACACAAAAAAATCTGGGAATGTTTAGATAAATTGGATAATGACATAAAACTTTTCATATTGACGGTGGATCTGATGGTCAGATGTCCAAAGACTGCAGATACTCTTTTGACATGTTATTAATGAAATCCACAATCACACTGTACATTATTTGTGAGTATCAACAAGTCAAACTTTCATAACTTTCAAAGACATCATTCATGTGTTCTTCTGCATTCATGTAATGTTACATTCGAATTTGATCAGAGGAGGAGTGATATAATATTTTAAAATATGGACAGTGGAAAACCATCGACTATAAACCCATAGACAGGCGCCTCCTATTCAAAACAACAGAGGGGTACCGTAGCCGAGACAGCACCCGACAAAAACCAAAAGCACGGGCAAATTCCCCCCTCGGTATAGGGAATTTACCACAATTGAAGAATCCCAGCCATAAAATTCTATGAAGCCATTTTTCAATTGTAAATAAATCTTCCGTTTCCTTAATGTGGCCCATGCAAACTCGAAACAATGAAGTTGCAACATTTGAATAGAAGAGATAGCAGTACCAAAGAGTAAACAAGGAACATAAATACATGCAATCTAAGTGCGTCACACGCAATTTGCACTGAACACGCTGCCATCCGTCATTTTGCCCACTGTTTGCCCACGCTTTTCAAAATCACACTTATACGCGCAAGACTGGTGGTCTATGCACTTATATGTCTGTGTGTTAAACGTAGTGTACATGTGCAGCACCCTCTAGTGACATGAACTGGCCAGCTCAACTTGTAACTTTTTCACTAATATTTTCAAGGAATCTTGACTGCCTACATAAAGGTATGTGAATAAGGAGTTACAGGTAGCTGGTCTTGCTCAGACAGGATAAGAATTAACTGCAGTCGAAAGTAGGAATGGAGGTAAACAATGTCTTTTCATATCTTTTGCAGTTTCTTTCTGAGGATGGAAATGTAATGTCATGTTGCCATGGTGATGTTCCTCCCAAGGTCTACAGGAAAAACATGCATGAGTTAGTAGAGGGAAGGCCAGGATGCAAGAGTCTGAGGTAACACATCCAGAAGAAATATGCAAAATAAATTGGTTTTCCAATATAGATACAAAAGGAGGGAAATCATTTCACTAATTGATCAAGCCCAGCCATTAAATTTCTAAAGAAAACAAATATTTACCTTCTACAGCTGTGTTTTGGACATGATAAACTAAACAGTCGACAACTTCCAAACTAGGAAACCGCTTTTGCTTTTATTCAAGCTGACAAGTTGCACGGCACATCCCATAAATGGACTTACGGCACATCTATTCAACAAGTTGGAAGTTTCACAACTGTGCTGATTGCAAGTATTTTGCTACATTTTCTACCCATCTCATTAAAGAAGAAAAAGAAAATGGTGGCTACATATTTTTGCAATTGTTTCATAGAGTTTCAAATTCAGATGAAATTAAAGTTAATTTTGCATTAAGTTAAAGCTTGATGAGAAGGCGCACATGTTACACATACATGCAATGCACTGCAGTTAGTTTGTACATTCATTAATAATGCTTGACTTGAAAAATCCAAGATGGCTGCCGAGGCTCAGTACTTACCGCCTCGCTCAAGTTCACCCCCTGGCCACCAAACACCGAGGGGGGTCTCCGATTGGCATTCTTGGGCCGGGAGAGCGTGATGTGGGTAAGTTTCTGACCACTGTCCGGCTTGAGATCCTCAAAACCTCCCTCTGCCATTGGATAAATGGTCATCAATGTGAAAAAAATGAATAAAACGTTATAAAAACTGTAATTGCGGACATTCCAGATGTAGAGGTTCAGGTTTATTGGGTGCTGGTGCATCCTTGACACCAGTTTCTTTACGTGCAGTCCTTGGTATGCAGGGTCAGGCCAAGTTTGGCTTCCATTTAATCGGTGACTTTCAGTGAGCTTATACACCACCTACAGAGATGGCAGGCCAAGAGTAACAACGTATACCAACCTGTGGTCTCCTTTTTCTCCACTGACGGCTGATGCCTTAACACAACAGGAGGAGCTGCTTCTTCACGCTCAGGAGGTTGCGAAGGCTTTGGGGGCGGAGCCTTAGGCTTTATGCCCGGTTTTTTGGGTGGAACAGGTAATACCTGTTGGTGTAAGGGAAGTTTTGGCTTACATTTTCAGAAGCAAACACAACTGAAGCTTTTTGACAGAAGTAATAAACGCCACATGTATCTCGTTTACAAGAAAAGGGTTAGATACGCTGCTGTCGATAAAACCAGACATTATTCTTCCTGTGAGTATTCCAACACATGCTCAAACATGGGCATGAAAGCAGATACTAGGAAAGGCCATCTACAAGCTTTTTAACAAGATGGCATCTACGGTAAATTTTCACCTATGCTCACCGTGTGAGTGGACACAGGTTACCAAATAAGCCCTGTGAGGGTGGTGCAAAGCGTGGTCAAGAACAAGATGTGAACAGACAACACAACGTGACGGGAACGAGGCACGACTATCTGACATATTGCATTACTCTACCGTCTGATGCCACTACCTGCATATCTTTCTATTTATATGCCGAGTTTCTAACTAACACTCAAAGTCTAGATATGACAGTGAAAAAATAATGGCTATACAAGGAATCTGACAAAGAAATAACGCTAAGGGAATAAATATGCGCTTGAGAGAATGGACGCGACTAATGCCCGAACCCCAGGTAAGGGCATTATCAGCATTCCTTCTCCTGAGCAAGGTCTTAAGATATGTGCTTGGCCAGTCTTAAACCTTAGTTTAAGACTGGCCAACCACATATCTATTCCCATTCATAAATACCTTTTTATTCAGAAAGTCAGAAGAAGTCAACATATGATGGATTTCGAATGATTTTGTTCTAAAACTTATTTTCATTTTTCCGAACACCCCTGTCCATTTTATGGTATAGTCCTTTTGAAAGTTGTCCAATAGAATCTCCATCAGTGAACATGGCGCATGTGTGGCGCGTCGTACGACTTCTGACCAATCAGACGCGATTAAACTGTCTCATATCCATATGCTAGCGCATGATTTATGCAGCTAGCATTATCACTTCTCAGCGGGCATTATCAAATGTTCAAACACGCTCACATGACGCATTTTGACCGATAGGAAGAGGAAAAACTGTCCCAGGTATTTCTGAATGTTTGTTAACATGCATCACATAATAACAGAGCTACAGTGGGGGAAAAAAGCCTCAAAAAGGCCAGTGCAGAAAGAACTACTTGTGTACAATTATATATAACGGGTTTTGCCCTTACCCAACGTGTAGGGCAAAACCCGTTATATATAATTAACATCTCCCCAACGCAAAAATACATCTTGAAAATACTTGTGTACAACTTTAAAGAGAAAGCCAAAAAAATAGAATGCAATTTTTATAAGACTTAAAGGCTTTTCCTTTGGTGCACATCGAAAACATAAAATGGCACAGGAAATTAAAGGCTTAGCAAACTAAATTGATTTGGTCTGATCATCAGTCACCATATTTATCCAACTGACTTGGCAGGAAAAGTAAAATGCTGATTTAAACATGCAAACAAACAATGTGAACAAAAAAAATTGCATTGTTAAAATACTTGGAATACCAATCTTTGTGCAATGACCAAAACGAAGGTGAAAATCATCCCAAAAAAGTAGTTAACTGGATAAGGTAAAAAAAATGAAAGAAAAACTCTTACACAGATAGTCCTTTATCTCAATTTTGAAGAAAACTATTCAAAGATTTTATTTTCTTTCTTTCTTCTTTTAAATTCAAATCCTGAGAATGTACACAGGTTACCAGCAAACAAGTACCACTAGAGGCCCCACGAAGTTAATGTGCGGCAGACAGGAATTGAAGCCTTCGTTCCCTTTGTTTTTAACTCACCTTCTTGGGCTAGATGTGCAGACATTTTTGTTGAAATGTGAAAAAACAAAATGTGGAAGATTTCATGAGCATAGAAATAACGCAATGATGACTCTTGTTTAAATTTGTATATAATTCCATATCAGAAAGACCAGAGATCTTTTAAATAAAATCAAAACAGACGCCCAAGAGATTTGCCTTTGTTGAAAACACTGGACGTGGATTATTTCTGTTAGTTCAAACTTGACGGCTTTTTGACAGGTGCAGAAGTTTGGTGTCCTTTCTGTGATAAGAACTGCAATGCTGGCATTGTGCCAAAACTTTTCAATATCCATTACATCCTGATGGTTGTTAGTTTACCACAAGAGCAAGCCTTGATAAGACCCTTCGCACACACGTGTCTTAGTTAATCTAGACGATGGACAAGAGTGGCATCGGAAGTGTACTTACCGGCTTAGGCGCAGCAATGGGGTGGGGCTTGGGTGCAGGGGATTCCACCTTGGGATGTGCATTAGCCGTGACTGTGTCAGCCAAGGGCCGGCGAGGCGGGACTGTCATCGGACTGTCGACGGGAGGAGGAGGAGGTTTGGTTGGCATGGCCTTAGCAGGAGCAAGTTTGGTCTCTGTGGGTAACACTTTTGGTCCTATCCAAAAAGAAAAATGCAGAGAAGAGCCTCTTTGAGAATCAAAAAACCAACTTTAGAGAATCATTTTGAGGCTTGACAACAATTAGTGAAAGATTAAAATTACTGAAACATAAAAGACCATTTCTAAAAAAGGTTTTATGTAAAAACTAAACAACTGTATCAAGTAAACTTGTTATATATTGCATGGAAAGGTGGAAAGTCTTGACTTTTCTGATCAGATGATCTGGATATGCTGTTCCAAAAACAGACGAGCTGGTCAGGACTCCGGATGATAGATACAGGTTCAATTATGCATCATGCCAAGAACTTGGGGAAAATACATCTTGGATTGCATGACCTTACCTTGGCTCATTCCAGACTGTTGAGATTTGCTTCCTGATTGCTGATTATTCAACAATCAATAAACTAGATAAACATGCCTGTGGCTGACCAACCCTCATCAAGGAAGCAAGTAAGCCATAGAATAGTCCCGAAGGACAAACATTCAATACACGGCAACGTCTGTATCGTCCATGATTCCTGACACCCAACCCCTTTGGCTATCTGCCATCATGCTAAATGAGCTGCCAGATATATCGCACTGGCAAATAATGCTACTGTTTGAAAAACACGGAAACACTGTGGAGCTACAAAGTTATTCAGACTGCATACACTTTGACTTTTCTTTTAGCAAGATCAATTTCATCATCTGGAGTTAACCGTGGAAACGTAAAGGAAAGTGATGAAAAATATACATGTATATATATTCTGAAAATAAGCTTTTACCTGAAGCTGGTCTTTCTGGCATAGGTGCTGGTCCTTTTTTCTTAACTTTCTGTGGAATACCAGAGACCAAACAAACATTAATTATGCACTGCAGAGATTCAACCTCAAACGGGAAGTGACCAGTTCTTTTATCATTTTCATTTTCTACAAACAAAAAGTCTGTCCCGCCAAAAAACACAACCTAAGCTAATTCCGCCTTGGGAATGCAGTTTTTGCACAAAAAGCAAAAGAGAAACCTGGCTGGGGTTGATTCAATTTCCATGTTAAAAACACAAAAACAAAAAAACAAGTATGATGCCAATTGTAATGAATACTTTTTTCCACTTATTTGTGAAACTCTGGTCCAGATTATTTTCCTTGCAATCCTGCTAAATGCGTACAACATGCAAGTGAAAACATTCACAGCTTTTCTTGAATTCCATCTCCACTGTTGATTTCCATTTCCGAGAATTGTTATATGTTCTCGACTCAAAAAGTAGTTCTGACGACTCGTATCTCATGTTGTTAGACTGAAGAATAATTCTGCAGAGATGTGGATGCCTCTTGAGGAAGCAGCTCAAGGCAATTCCTCTTGAGTAATGCTTTTGGAATATGGACTAGGCTGGTTTGAGACAACAATGGTCGGCTCAGGGGTGAGAATGAACTCGATGGACTCACCTCTTTTTCTGGGGGCAGCATTGTGACAAAGTTGTCTGGGAAGACCCCTTTCCTGCCGTTGATCTCTCCAAACCACCATCCGCTGTCGCCTGCCTCCTTGTCTAGAACCGTCACGATATCGCCCTCTTTCAGTTCCAGCTCATCCGAGTGCTGGGCCTCATAGGGGAACGTGACTCTTGCCCTCTCTCGGACTGTTGGTGATTGCCCAGGAAAAAAAATACAAACAGTCAAACTTGCCTGAAAATATCGGGAAGTCGCCCGAACTACTGCAAGAACACAGGAACTTGGTAAAATGAGTAAGTGAGATTCAAAACCACGTAAAGACTGGAAGTGTCACACCTACAAATCGTGAACATTCTGTAACACATCATCTCATGACTCTTTTTCCCAAAATTACAAGAATTCCAAATGCCAACTCCTTGTGCATATACCTCCAGTTTTTCTGTAAACCATGATAAGCACCGGCAAGGAAGTAGTGATGTCCCCCAAAGACGTGACTTAAATACCTCCAAAAAAGAGAGAAATATTTGGGGATATGACAATACAAACACATGCTGGTATACTTATACCAAAACAGGAAATGAGCCAGGCCAATCCATTGACGGTAGTTTAACTGCACACAATTATAATTTTTATTTGAAGGTAGGTTTCAAATCCTGGAGTGCACTCCTATTCCGGGACAACCACATCAGTCGGATGAGGCAAAATTGACTTCTCTATTGAATTACAGGTCTGAAATTAGTTTTATTTGATACAATATATCAAGGACCATTTAGCTAAAGCTCATATTCATATTGGACTCTGTATTAATTGCGCTTGAAAACCTCACACAAGGAAAACCACATCAATAAAGTTAACTTAAATACACTGCAACCAAGAATGATGAACTAGACACATTGGACTTTGGCAAACAACATTCCAACTTATCTGTTTAAAACATAAACACTTTTAAAAATTGATTCCCGTTTGAATTATCTTCTTAACCTTTCCCCTTTGACATGCTGTTGCTCTAGATTCAGTACACACGACATCGGAATCAGTTTTTGCTGACTCTGTCAGATCAGCACCTCACAGTCATGTCTCGCGTCAAAACAAAAATGCAGCTCTAAGTAACTGTAAACACAAAATTTAGTTTTGAGAATCTGCATAATGCCAAATTGGTGTGATACCAAACCAAATTCCACCTGCTAAAAATAGATACCATTCATCCAATCAAATATTAGGTTTTATGTTTTTGGCATTATATTACAGGTGCTGCTATTGGCTCATTGTACATGTATACCCAACCCACATATCCACTACAGGAACGGTACGATGCATGCACCACTTCCTTACTTGATTCTTTCCCAAGAAGGACACGTTCTCACAAAACCACACATGGAAACAGGTCCTATTTCGGTAGCTAACTCATTGTCAGTGGCGAGCCCAATTCTAAATGACTTATTTACAAACTGACTGGTCATCAGTGCACGTACAGAATACGTCACCATGAATGACACAGTGCATGGTTTAAACCACCCACCTTGGTCGCTCATACCACAACATGTGCCAACTGATCCCTCACTGACCGACAAAAAACGTTAATTCACAGCCTCCAGGTTGGTGTCACTCAATTCCGTTTGACAATTTATTCAACACTCAAGGCTTGGCGTATATTTTTTTGTGGGGGGGACTATACAGTCGATTGTGCAGCAGATACCGGACACCAACCGAGGCCAACTACCAGCTGGTTTGTTGGCTTCCTGGCTACAAGCAGGAAGCTGTCCCTTGGGGCAAAGCCAAACTTCCTGGGCTGAGGGGGATGAGGTCACCATAGCAATGACCTTTGCTCTTGATTGACAACATACGGACCATTCATGATTCTTGCAGTGAGGACATCGGTATGATAACATTACTTTTGATTTACTGTATACCAAATTATGTACTGGATGACTCCTGAGCTACGCTAGTTTGCTTTTTCTGGTGAAAAGTGATGTCACACTTCGGTACTCTGTAGCAGGGTTGATTAAACAATGCCTAGACCATAAAGTTAAAGTGGCTACAATAAGAGGTGGATTAAATCCTATCTCTGTCAAATCCTGCTACAATGCATCCAACTCAGATCCAAAAGACAACCAGCAATCACTTTAAGTATGGGCGACGACCACCAGTCAATTTTCCCTGGTAGCCTGTGCACATAATACATGTATATCCTTTTTGCTGAGCAGAGAGCATTATATTGGCAAAACCAGCTACAGGTTACCAGCCAAAACCATCATGCCATGTACAATTCCAGTGACAGCTCTTCAGTGGGTCTGTACATGTAAGCATAAATCTACTTAGCAAGATTTCTCCTAAGCAATGGAGACCTTGAAAGTGCAAAAATCGATGCAATTCTTACCTATTTCTTCAAATTCTTCGTCCTCCGCTGGTTTGGAATTTCTCCTCTCCTCCTTCTTCACTTCTGGTTTGCTCTCTTTCTTGGAGTCCTCTTTTGGCTTTGCCTCCGTGTTCACGGCAGAAGTTGGAGATGGGACAGCGTCAGGTTTTTTCAATGATAGCTATCAAAATGACAAAGTGAAATTGATAATAACCATGGTATTGAAATAAACGTACATGTATATTAGTCATTACCAAGGCAAATGGGCATAATCTTAAGTGTGGTGGATGCTTCAAGATCACAATGTGAATGGCTTGACTTGGAAGCAAGTAGAAATGAAAAAGGTAAAGGTGCCAGACTATTACATCAGTGGTACCAAACAAACCTGTATGAATCAAAGGCAACCATCTTGGTCTAGTTCCTGCTATCAGGATTATTAATTATGTGTACTGTTTTTTTGTGCTTTGCCCTCACCAAATCTGATTATTTTTATTGAAATGAAACAAGAAAAAATACTTACCCTTTTCTGTGCCAGTTCGCTCTGTCCACCCAATTTGGAGGGGTCTTTTTTGGAATGATCTAACGAGGAATTCGCAGGTGTTTTTCTTAACTTGACTTCCCCACCAGCAAAGATGTTACCAAAACCGACGCCTTTGATTTTGGGCTGCTTTGGTTTGGGAGGCTCTGACGGTAGGGGTGGGGCTTCCTCTAAAAAAATAAACACAACATCGGCAACTAACTTGGCTGATAGGAACAGCTTTAAATGTCTGCATTGCATTTTACAGAAAGGCAACGTATGTGAGTAGAATTGGGAATAGCGAAATCAGCAGAATCTGCGAAAATGAGCAAAATCAAATAAGGCAGACCTTAAGTAGTTCTCCAACAACCGAACTGAGTGAGAGACGCTTATACTGTGGTATCAAAATTTACATGCAGTTGAAAACAGTCACGTTGATATCTACACATTACAAGTATATTTATTATTATTATCATCATTTAACCCCTTCGCGCCGGGATTCTTTTGACCGTGACTGCTGGGCTGCGATGTGCCCAGTATGCAAAGCCCTGTCCAGCAGCAGGCCCACATTGAAACCGCAGGTGCATGATGAATAGAATGTGTGGTATGCACTAATCCTAACACAACGCCACAGCTGTCAACGTCTCCCGGAGTGAAGGGGTTCAGGACATCTATCGTCGTAAATGTTTGGTATGTGTTTCAGAATCTATTTAGTTCGGAAACTTCATCTCCTGAACACCTTTGCCAAATCTCAGGCAAAAGTGTCCTACTTCAAGTATGTCACCATTGTTCTATGGTCTCTGTGTTGTTGCTGCTGTCTATGAGGATATCGCTGTTCTCAGCCACTGCTGTCGCCACTTATGCTACTGTTGCTGGGGGAGGCCCTGCGGCTGCAACACCATGGCCACTCTCGCAGCTGTGATAATGACAGCACTTCTGGTATTTTGGCGACTGCTGCTGTTAACATTGACAGCGCTTCTGGTATTTTGGCGAGTGCTGCAATTGACATTGACAGCGCTTCTGGTATTTTGGCGAGTGCTGCAGTTGACATTGACAGCGCTTCTGGTATTTTGGTGACTACTGCAATTGACAGCGCTTCTGGTGTTTTGGCGACTACTGCAGTTGACACTGACAGCGCTTCTGGTATTTTGGCGAGTGCTACAGTTGACACTGACAGCGCTTTTGGTATTTTTGTGACTGCTGCTGTTAACATTGACAGCGCTTCTGGTATTTTGGTGACTGCTGCTGTTAACATTGCTGTTGTCATTGTTTCTGCCTCTGCTGTCGCTGCCGCAGTCAGTTTTGCTGCTTTGCTGCTTCCTGCAGCAGCTATTATTACTCCCGTTTAGACTGCAGCTGTCCATGCTGCGGCTATCAAAGACACAGCAACATATGCAGTCTTTGCTGCTGTTGCCTGACCTACTGTTACAGCTGCCTTGAAAGCTCCTGCTCTCACTACTTTGCTGCTGTTCCTGGGCATTGCTGATTTATCTCTGATTGATTTAGCTACAGGTACTTTCATCACAGTGGTGTTGTCGTTACTGCCGTGGTTGTTACAAACTCCCATCGTTCTTGTATATGTTGCTGTTATGTTGACGTACCTTTTGCTACTGCTGCGTCTGTCTTGTCTGTTCCCGCTCCATCCTCCCCCTCGATCACGGTCACAAAGTTGGAAGGGAACATCCCCTTCTTGCCCTTCAGCATTCCCTCCCACCAGCCGTCCTCTGGTTGGCCGGTCACATCGATGATGTCGTTCACCTCTAGACTGATCTCGTCCTCGTTCTGCGGGTGGTAGCTATAGACCACTTTGGCACGTAGCTTTTTCGTCTTTTCCGAGCCCTCTGTCAAAGCACCGGTGATGAGAGATGATTTTTTAATGAAGAATGTGACAAAATGTTAACTTAGTTCCCTCTTCTGTACTGAAATAAAATCAGGGGTAATTTTAGGACCAGTTTAGGGGGGCTTGGGGTGTATGGATTTAAGAAGTGTTATCATCAAGTCAAGGGAATAACAAAAAAATTAAGATGGAAAAGTCCGCGTCCAAACTGCAAAAAATACCAATAAAATGACTTAGCATTTCCACACTAAATAAACAGATGAATGTACTAAGCAAAACAGTCTAAAACCTCCACCAGTGACTAAAATTTAAGCAAGAAGTGCTGTTAATCCACCACTGTCAATCCCTTTAGAATTTGCTAAAAGTCAGAGAGTTGAGTTTCCTGACCTCTCTTGGGAACATCCTGTGAGTCGCCGTTGACTTCCGCGGGGGGTGGAGAAGGGGCTTTTCCCTTGACTGGTGGAGGCTTGTCTTTGTTGATGAGCTGAGGAGAAAAAAGACAAAGAATCAGGACATTACAGCCGGTGGCATACCTATGAAAATATGTGGCATGAACGGACCAATTTCATGACGCTCCCGTAGAAATAATAATAAATTGGTTTCTGTGCTGAGCAGTAAGCCAACATCAGGTTATCAACCAAAATAGCATGCAGTTAGTGACTGGTTCCCATCCGATTTCTGCTAAGCAAGAAAATACTGCTAACCGGTATTTTCTGCTATTGTCAGTCATGACACTAGGATTAGACAGTGAACCTTGTTCGTAGATCATGTTTACAAAATCTGCCACCAAGATGAAACAGACCCTAGCAATGAGCTGATCATTTCAAAGACACACCCTTTTCGCATCCAAGATGGTAATGTCTTTTTCATCAGAAATTCATGTACTTGTATTTTTTGCGTAGACTTATTGATTTTATTAAGGAAATGAGACCATGAACCAAGGGTTAAGAATTTATTACTTAGCAAAAATGACTACAGCAATTCATAGAGCTGTGACGAAAACTCCCTGGTTGGTTAGCCAGATTGCTGTGAGGTCACCCAAGCAACAATGACATCTCATGGGGATATCCTGTATCACATGGATGACCCTCTGTTGAACTCAGTCGGAAATTAATGCAACAACATGAAGCAGTGGTCAATTCACCAAGCAGAGCAGTACCATATTCGGATACTGTCCTACACAGAATAGGAAGCCAGTCGCTGCCTTGACAAGTTTTCGACAAATGAAGGGATACCCCCAAGGCCCAAAACAAGAATTCCAATTTCGGTCAGCTTACGATACTAACCAATGGCCATGATTAATGGGTATACTGAAACAACGGCAGATTACTTTCACAATGTACTGTATCATCCAACTTTGTCCAGTTTCCAAAACAGTATAAGGTATTGAAAATTGGCATTTTGGGGTACCAAGTGATCCTGAAAAACTTGGTGTCAACCAGCACATTAGTTAACTACAAGCAGCCGTACTCAAAGAAGAAGTCTAGACTAGGAACCGGACAGGAGCCAACATGATGTCGCGGGGGGGGGGGAACATGTTTATGAGGAAGTGGGTTTAGAAAATCTTAGAAATATTCAGAAAGCAAAAAGGGACACCAATTTGAGAAGAGCTAGACAATGATGGGGGGTGCCCAAAATCAAGTGTGACATACACAAATGCATACTAGAGTAAACGCCTGTAATTATGGAAGTCCCTCCGTTTACCTACTGTCTTCAGCTTCCTTCAACTTATTTGATGGGTTTCTACAGGATTTATGCATGATTTTCCAATGGCTGACCCTAAACCAGTTCATGGACACACTGCTTGCCGTTCAGTGCCCATCACTGAATGTGGATACAAACTGCACTCACTCTTTTTTTCTCAAACTGATACAAGGAACCCCTCAAACCATACCGACTCCGACAGGATCCAATTATTGGTTGCTGCTAGCCCGCAACTGGATCCGGGAGGATTGAGCAATAAACTCATGGGACTTGTTCCTGTTGAAATCTGTGGGAGTTAGCAGTTTCATGTAAGAAGCTGGACACTGTTAGATTGAGTTGGAAACTGGGCACAGTTAGTCTGTGTTGCATTTTGATTCAGAAGGCAACAGAAAAAGAGATACAGTTGGATTCTGTTGGATTTGGGTTGATCATTTTACATGAAGTCACTATCAACTTGAGCTGTTGGATTGCACTGTATTGAGCAGAAAACTCACAACACCACCAAATTCTGTTGGCCTTACCAGGGAAGGCCCAAGGCCTGGGGAACGAGTGAGGCATTAGGGGTATACCTGCACCATGCCGAGATCCAAAGGGTACATGTACATGTAATATACCTACTTCGACAAAAATATGAGAACAGTTCTCTAAACATCTCATGTTCTCAGGTCCACACAAGGAATACCACATCTATCAAACCACCTCAACATAGTTGTCAGGAATAGTCCTTGCTGAAGTTATTTTTTGTTCTCAGATCTGGACAAGAAATACTCTCTATCCTCTAGGTAGCTAAACAAACTGTACCTCTACAAAGTTTTCAGTACCAGTCTTCTTTTATTCTCCAGTCTACATGAAGAATATCATGCCTATAAAAAAGGGTACTTGCCTTCACAAAGTTTACCAGGGAACAGTCCTCTCTAGACCTCTTGTTCTCAGATCTAAATTGAGGAATACCAAGCTCATCTAATGGTACCTACCTCAACAAAGTTGTCGGGGAACAATCCTCTTTTTCCATTCAGCTCCCCTTCCCACCATCCCTCCTCCATCACCGTGATGTTGGTGATGGTCTGCCCTTCCTTGAGGGTTAGCTCGTCGTCCTGCGTGGCATCGTAATCAAATGTCACTATGGCTTCCACTGTGGGACAAACAAGGTCACAGGTCAGAGGTCACACTGGGTGACAAAAAACACCAACAGTCATGATTGTTCATACATGAACTGGGTTAAAGATGGACAAGGAAACAACTCTCATGGTAAATTTCAATCACATTCCCAACTCATTAATCAAATCAAGCGCCTAAAGTGAAGTATACCCCTGAGAAATTAAGTTCATTGTTAAGGAAACAGACATCGTCAGCAAATTTTATGAGCTCTTTCACGGTCATTTCCCAACTGCCGCTACAACTGAATGATATCTCACCCTTACATGTACCTATACTAAGCACACCAACTTCCCGAAAGTGAAAATTCCACACACAAAAAATAGTTTTGGTCTTGAAACCCAACTTTGTGCATGTAAAAGAATAGCACTAATTGAATTGAGACATGTTTGTTTGAGGACATGTGAGTCCTTGATATTAAACCAAGTACTTGTAAATGAGAGTGATCTTCACAACACATGCATTAAAGGTGATCCCTTTCATTGTAATCGTACATTTCAGGATAGATTTCCTGTTGCTGAAGTTTCAAAGAGGACACGGACGGCAGAAACTAAGATGACTAAACTTAGGAATACCGGTATTTCTCCAACTACTACGCTGTCCTATTCTAATTTTAGTCCTAGTTTTTCTTCTTATGCATGCAGCTCTTCCACATTGCTCAAATCACCTGTCGGTCTGGAACTTTCCGACTTGTCATTTCTTACATACCGGTACTGTGCAAAGGTGAAATTTTGTTATTAACACTTCCAACATTTCCGATGAGAGGAACTTCTGAATTTGTTTCTGTTCAGATAAATGGCTTTAGTTTCCTTTAATTCATATTCCTAACCTTTAACTTGATCCTTTGTATTTGTAATGACACATTCAGAGTTACAGAAATTATCCTCAAACATAACTTTGAATGGCAACTGTGAATGACTTGTTTTTCGCCTGAGCTCAACTTCTTATTTAAAACTCTGACGAGATATATGTTTTGAGTGCTTTGCATCTTAATTTAATATGCAGCCATTACAAAGTGAAACGTTTGGCATTCACTCTATCAAGATTTTGGCCCTCCAACAACATAGAATTGTCAGCATAGTTGATTCATTGCTTTTCCAGGATTTTTTAATTACTCAGATATCAGTGATGATAAGGTCAGATATTGTGAAAGAGTAGGGGCTTTCCCTGATGTCATCCTTACATCAAAACAGGTGAATGAACAAGTACACTTGATAGTGCACAGGTAGACTACAATACACCCACATCCTCTACATGCACCTACACTGGGTTAATTACATGTACATGCCTGTGCTAATCACAATAAGCTTTTTACTTATAGAGGCTTTGTGTGGTAGCCATCTCGCAGGGCAGTTCTCTGGTTTCATAGGGAAAGCTCCTTTGTGGATACCCCATGGCAAAAAGCACTTGCCTGCAAGATGGCAGCCATGCAAACCCTCTATACTTATAGGGCTTACAGAAAACATTCAGTACAAAACAACAAAATAAGCACAGTACTCTTAGTTGTGGGCTTAATGAAAGTACACCACCTAAATTTCCTCGCTAAGTTATGAAATTTTACAAGCCAATTTGTTAACACTAAATTTTCCGTTATAATCAGCAAGAATTCTTCTCAGACAGTAAGCAGAGCCATGAAATTCTGCCCTGGTAGATTTCAAAATTCCTTTGTGGGATACAGTCCTTCAATAACTCTGCCCATGCAATACAACTCAAGTAGGCCCTACCCTGAAAGTTTAGAAGCATAAATTAACAATAATTCCTCCAATATAAGTGTAAATTGTTCAAGTTTATTTTTCACAAATTTACAGTTGTATTATGAGGAAAAAAACATTGCCATGGTGGGCCAAAGTGACAGGCTTGTCAAAACCTGACGACAGGATTAAAGTTGCCCCACGGGCAGACAATCTACGTACATGTACCCACCGCTCCTCTGAGCAACGTACAGCTTAGGTCACCTTTCTCTTTAGTACTGAATAAATCTTTTGATCCCCAATGCTTGAGTGATTCATGGCAACCTGGCTTTTATGGCTGCATCCTGTGCCTGAGTTGTGTGTATAAGTAGATTTTTTTTCTTATGGTGGCCTATGTCATGTAATAATCGCACTATTGCTCAAGGAAGTGGCATGCATAAATAATACAACATTCCATGTTTATATTTGTAGACTTAGCAAGGTGGAGTAAATAACACCTGAAGGTATTCGTATGTCTGTGTTGTTGACCATGTATTACAATTTTTGTGAAATTCTTTGTACATTGTCAACACTGATTGTGTACATTGTTCACTGATCTCTGAACTCAAGCAATTACTTAATCTTCCTTTGCCGTGCGTACTACCCAAAACCAAGGGCATTTCTGCAAGGAATCCTTAACGCTATGCCATGACAGGCACCTATGTACATATATACATGTCACTGAACAGAGAGTATTAAACAAGAAGAAAATAAAGACTCTCACCATTTTTTCAGCACAAAATAGGAGACATGTTACATGTACCATTTTCCACAATGAGAGTTTTTTCCCTTTAAGAATTAAAAATTTCAATTTTTTGAGTGACATTTGCTCCACACTACATGGAATTTGGTCTGAAGAGGCATCATTTCTATCATTACCTTCATCATGGGGGCAGGACCCCCTCCCATCACAGGGTCATCCCTCCTGATATTATCATGTATAGCATTTGACCTTTGATCTGTAGTGTATGCTCCACAAGAGTACCAGTGACACTGGTCCCTGGTGCTCATTTGCATATATAATCCTAATGAGACACTGTGGAGAGCAGTGGAGTGCAGTGAACAGTGTAAATAAATTCAGCTTCAAACCACACTCCCATTTAGTCAAGCCATGCACTGTGTTCTGAAGGTTACATTGTAGACACAATACTCGTTTAATTAATTAATTAATTGTCCTTTACAAAACGTACATGTACATGTAGCATTATCTTCTGCATAAATCATATCCTCTTCTAAATACATGGTACACATTTCTGCAGAAATGTGGCTTATGTGCTTTTACAACTTCCTGATTCATTTCACAAAAACCAGCAGCGGATGTTTGCTCAAGAAATTACATGCAATTCTCTGGGTTTTTTTTTACGATTTCAAAACTATTCCGTCCATGTAGATGTCCACTGATACACATGTTTGTGGAGCAAGTAGCAGTCCAACAGCAGGATTGGATCTTTTCAGTATTCACTGATGTAAACAGTGCACTCCTGAATATTTCACATGCTGGATAATACAAGCCTGGGGCCGTTCATTGAGTATGTAAATCTCTAATCATAATGCCTACACATGCAATTTGGCCCTGAAGCAATGCTCTAGCCAGCTCCTGCATGCACAACCTCTGTACTTAACCCTGTCCCTGAACTGTTCGTCAATGCCCTAAGGTATGGACATCATATCAGTCAGCTTATAAGAATCAGGCGACTCTAAAGACACTTGCTGAATTCATAATAACGCAGCAAAGAACAGAATTTGTGACACACGCTGCAATTGTACTTTTCCAAGTCAACTTCAAACTGAAACACTCGACAAAATGAAACCATAAAAGTCCAGAGCTTTTCCCCATTATTCAAAGCGCTGAATTATGAAAAAATAATACAAATTTATATAGTATGCAGTATGACATGACATGGTTTCCTCTTTTATGTGTGTGTTTGTGTGTGTAGAAATCACCAGGGATTCGGGTGAAAAAGTCTGATTTCCTGATTTTGGAAAGCCACAATCAATATTGTGGTTTCATATTTTAATCATGCTTTGTTTCAAGGGAAAGAGGACGCGAATAAGCACACACAAAAACTCCCCAAACCCACAATCATATTTGGATATTCTCAGTCTTCATCAATTCTAAAGAAGAGCTATCGACAGAAAAAATCCAAGTGCTCTCCAAGTAAATTTTCAATATTTTTTTCCCTGATATACTTGGCTTTTTAGGACATGTTTTCACTTTTTGAAAGCTGATATGCTACACTACTACAGGGGAATTTTACTGATGCCTATCAGTAAGATATCTTGCCATCTTCTATAGAGTAAAAGCATCGTTTTCAAAAAGTTTCGTTTCCATGTATCATACTGTAACTAATACAAATAATCCACTATCCTCTCAAGTACTGTCAAGTAATAAAGATCGTACAGTTAACATGTACACAACTTCAGTTTTTGAAACCATCTATTCCATAGATCTCTCTCACTGGATGCCATTCTTGTACGAAAATTATGACTGCGTATTCAACGCCATCAGGTGCATGTTGATACAGTGTGCAAATGCCCAATACGCACATTTGTTGATCCAAATATCTTAGAAAGATGGTGCAGCCGATGTGTATCACCAGACTTTCATGTCTAAACTGCAGATGTATAATTTGGCAATCCATAGGAGGTGACGTCATTTGAGAGAGACCTATTGGTTACTTTCAATTACAATTTCTGTTGTAATTTAGTATATACACCTGTACTTTCACATTGTTGATCCACCAAATCACTGGATATACACAATCATTTGATCGCCCTGTACCAGCGACAGATACTACGTGACATTTTTTGATCCTACTGCCTTCAGTCCATAAGGTTTTCTTTTGAAATCATACTGTGTAAAGACTCCTGAGAAGGAGGACAAGATGGAGACACTGTCCAGGGTAGACAGTGCAGCACTATCAAGTGACAGTGCATGCCCCCCAACCATACCAAAACTGACTAAGGTTTTCAAAAACCAAGAAACCAGGTCATGAAATGTGAAAATTTTAGACAGACAGTGTGTGTTAGACATCTGTGCACAACTTTTCAAAGTTACTGATCATTTTATTCAGTATTTGTAGATAAACAAACAGGTACATGTACGTATTTAGGGACAAAATGGTCTTCCACTTGTTCGACCCATGATAGTGCATGATGGACACATTTCTTACAATGTTGAAGCCAAAATTTTAACACAGTTTTTGACCTGTTTGGTGAAATACCCATTCATGACCCAGTACACTAATAGCTTTATTGACACACATGTACACAGGTCATACTCTGCTAAGTTAAAGTGCTACTGCTTTGGGACAACAAAAATCTCATGGCAGAAAATACAATTCAACACAAACAATTTTTCACGGAACTGGTTAAATTACAAAAGAAACAAACCACCTGTTTCTGACGCGCAATATACACACTGGGGCCTACGCCGAGCATAGCTTGTGCATGTACATGTCTGTGCACATTATAAAGTCATGTACATGTACATATGTACATGTAGACGGAGCAGGCGAATACATCCGCACGCAAAGGGTGCTCTCGGTGTTTGCATTTTGCCCCGTTTACCTGAACAACAAATTGCACAGAATAGAATCTCACTGCCTTCTTGATGTTACCAACTCACCCATTTTTGCCCCCGTTAGCTGTGACACATTTACAAAAAGCCGTAAACGTTGTAAACATCCAAAACAGCGAGCCGCTTGCACTCGAAATTCCTCCCTCTCGAGTTCCGATACGCCGGGTAACTGAATTTGATGTTATTCACTTCCGCAATAGTCGTGACCTCAGTGACCTTTAAAATTGGAAAGAGGTCACAAGTCACGTGATCTGATCAACCGATTAAGCGACGGCAAATAAAGGGGCGTTGCCTCATTGGAAGGAAGGAAACTACCTGTTCCACCGGATTTCGTCATATTAGCCAATACTACCAAATATGATCAACCACCATAAATTGCTACCTGTACGAGTGTAAAGTAAAACAAAGTGTCTGTTTCAAGGGTCTGATAACGTTTTGGACTTTTTTTCTTTAATTACCTAAAATCCTTTAAAATTTAAGTATATAACTAGAAATCCTCTTTAAAGTGGTTCAGCTGGGCTAAGTCAATTTCTGCCCGTCCCCCGCCCTCGCCCTATCTCACTCAACGCCTGAGACGAAAGAAATCAGGGCTGGTTGTGGTATTGCTACAAAGCCCACGCATGCGCATTGATGACTTCAAACTTTCCCCGTGAGTTTGTGCACAAGTCAATGGTGTAGCACTTTTCTGCTACGGATTTCCACCCCTGACTTTTCCCTTCCCAGCCTCGTAGCACCGTGTAGCAGTGAGTTTGTGCACAAGTCAATGGTGTAGCACTTTTTTGCTACAGATTTCCACCCCTGACCTTTCCCTTCCCACCCTGTAGCACTGTGTAGCTGTGATTTTGTGCACAAGTCAATGGTGTAGCACTTTTTTTGCTACAGATTGCCATGCCCAGGCTTATCTGCTTCCATTCTTGTTTGCTTGTGCGTCCGGTCGGCGGCAAGGGTTTTGTCTAGTTCCTGGGTACCATTATAACCATATTAAGTATCTTAAGTCCAAGCCTATGAAGGTACCTGAAATGTCATAGGCTTGTACTGTAGCATGTAGCACTGCTACACGACATGCCTGGGAGATTCGTTCGTCCCATTTCGTGCCTGGTATACCTGCTGAGAGTTTCGTAAAAACGCCCTCTGTGAACCTCTGGGAGTATAGAGGGCGTCGTACTACAATGCCGCACTGAAATTATGGCTACACAAAATATAAGGCCTTTTCGAGAGAGATATGAACAGCTATCGTCAGGAAATCAAATCAACGGCTCGTCTTGTCCATTGACAAGGGTTTGCAGACCCAAACAAAGACCTTAATTCAAAAAAGTGTAATTTGATGAAATTGTAAAGGAAGTCGTGTTTCTTTTTTGGGGGGGCGGGAACTTCAGAAGATTCACAAAAATAAGTAAGGGACAACGGCCTCATATAAGTGCATGCACCGGAAAATATGAGTTCGATCGTTTCCCAGTGGTGCCGGCATCTGATACTTCCAATTGTCTGGCTATGCCTGCCGGGAACAGTCTTTTGGGAGTGAGTTTCATTCAATGGAAAATATGTCCGCCGTGTGAACCTGTGATGAAATGGAAAAACAACCATCAAACCAACGATCAGAAAAAATAATGTCGAAAGTGGTCAGTGAAGAAAGGTGATTTGCGGTAAAAGCTCAGCGGCAGGTGTGCGAGCGCTGCACAGAGCACGAGCGCTTATCAGGTGACTTCGAAAATAAATGTATTGCAAATTATAAATAACAAGACAGAGAATAGGTTAAACTTGGGTTGAAAAGTTGGTCTATAGGTCAACGTGTCTAATGGAGAGGATTCTTTATACACTATATTCTATACTTACCCGCTTCGAACTTCTTCTCGGGTGGAACGAACTTTATGCATTGTAGAAAGATACAATTAAAGGCCGAGTCTCTCTCTAAACTTTGTAAATGAATTTTATTTGGCTTGTGTCTCAAATTTACATTCAATATTTACAACGAATGACGGACCCTACTCCGTTTAGCAATAAATGAGAAGAATTTTTGTCACATTTTCTTTTTGATATAAAAATACATGTACATGTTCATGCATTAATATTTATTTGTACCGCAAATGAAATCTACAACTGTGTCAGAGTTTCCATGCAGAAGAATAAAGGTTCTACGACTCAAAAATGTACAAAATCTTTTGTAAAAAAAATTATCAAATCCACTCCTTCCCTGCCCAACCATTTCTTTCAAAAAACAAAGATGAAACCAGTATTGATTGCATTTAACAGGTGCAGAAATCCAGCTGTAGTGCGGGTTGTGGCTGTTCTTTAAAACGACCGATATGATTACACCTGTACACAAACTACTCTCGAGTTTAAGAGTAAGCAGTTAAAAGCAGGTGGATCAATTTATAGCAAACTCAATTGTCCTTCAAAGTGAAGCGACAGTACCAAGACCACTTTTAATCGATATCTAAATCTTACATACTGTGCTCTTGCGGAAATAAAAAAAAATTTCCTACCGCTTTCAGAAGTTCAAAGAAAATAAAAATAAATGCTCGATGTACTTGCAAGTAGCACATTATACGAGGAAACGTGGATTCAATTTATTGAGAGATATTACGTGGTTTGTACCGATACTTAAAAAATATTTACAGTCTTTTACCCTGTCGTCTTGTTCGTAACACGATGAACCACCTATAATCCTGTACAATCTAAGGTTAGAATAACGTGTATTTATTATGGATAGATATTCTAAGGGACTGACACTGTCTGTTAATAAACGATAGCCTGCTATCGTTTACGTCATGCAGAAACTGACAGCAACTGAATTCAGAACTACATGTACATCCGTCTTTCGCTCACTCAACCTGGAATCTTACTGTACCAAATGTCTTTATCATAAGACATGTAATAATTTAATGAGGTATATCACCGATAGGAAGCCAGTTGGCTTCATTTACCACAGGATATCAATTTGTTTTTATTAGCTACCAGCAGCAACAGACGGAAACAGGAAACCATTCCAGGGATGACCAAATACAAATTGTCCAATGGAAAATGTTTATACGACGTCGACTTGATCGCTGCAAACGTCCAGCAGTTTGTCTATAGAGAATCTTTGCATACAATGGCATTGCGTTTACTGTTTTCAACGAGATAACTCAGAGTTCAGTTTTTTTCCCAATACCGGACACTTACATTCCTGGCGAGGGTGGGGTAAGCGGGCTCCAAGCGCCAACTTTACCGGGGCAAAGCTGGTTTGCAATGGCAGGGTAGGTCCCACTCGTGTCGGTGGTGCTTAGGCCTGCTTGTGCCTCAGAAGGACTGCCGTAGTTCTGGTACCCGGCGCACGACGACATTGATCCAACTGGCGGGCGGTGCACCCCTGTGATGGACGAGGTGCTGGGCTGACTGTAATTGGTGTAAGCTGCCCTAAGTAGGGACGTTGGCACGGGGGAACCCACGCTGCAGCTAATTGAGGCGGGAGGGACTGCGGAGGAGGTAGCGGGAGGCCAGACGCTTCCGTACTGATGCGAGGAGGTGGTGGTGATGTTGCTGGTGTGATGCGTAGAGCTACCAAGAGGAGACCACGCCTCATGGGTGGGGAGAAGAGGCAAGGTTGATGCTGATGCGTCGGTAGCATACGCACCTGAAAGAAAAGAAATCGATAAAAAATAATTAGAGTGTCTCTTAACGTGAGAAATTAAAGAAGAATTACACACAACAAATGTATTGACAACTAAAATCACTTTCGTAAATACAAGATTATGTGTTTGAAGTCGCCAATATCCATGCAAATAGGATGCGGATATCTGGGGAAACAAAAACAAGCGAACAAAGAGCAAACAAAATTCAAATACAGTGAAGAATAAACCACACAGGCAACCAGGCCAACCGATTGATATATATGCAACCACAAACACTAAGGTTAAGAACACAATCATCCAATCAATGGAACATTCGTTTGATCTCAGATTGTATCCAAATGTTATTATTTTTTTCACCAGATTCTGTTTACCGTTAACGTTTATCCTGCGCAGATATTTTCAGGTTCGTTGATAGGACATTTTTTCTTCCAGTGACAAATTCACTGTTTGCTTGCATGTGTAAATCACTCCCCTTACAGACCGATAACCTTACGAATCGATTACCATTCAGAGTAAATACCAGTCATAAAGTCTTCCCGCTGAAGTCAAACACGGGCCTGCGACAAAACGAGACTTTTGGAACACCCATGATATAATGAGCAAACCCCACTACATGTAAATGTAGATGCTGGCCGGCACGCTTAAGAAGTGGTGTTTACACGTTTATCAGCACAAATAAGGGCAGAAGACTGCAAATTTCCGATTAGCTTCCGCGGTAGGATTGCTTACGTGACCGGCGACCACCAGCGAGAGCTTTATTCGAGGGGGTTCGTGCTCGAGTCACGGCCCAGACAATTCCACGCCGCTCGCTGCTGTTTGCACTTGGGAACTCGGGCGCGGATAGTTATTTTTTCCTCGACTATGTGCTGTCAGTCGGTCTTTTTACTTTCAGAAAACAAAAACAATAAACAAGCGTTGTGCAGATGACGCAATGAATTTTAATTGCTCCGTGTAGTTTTAATAAAGTTTCTTTTACATTTAAGGGCTTTGTTGCTATCTTCAAAAGATTACATATTCATTTATCTTCTTTGCATGGAACCAAGTCTATCATTCGTGTTACTCAAGTGAATCGTCGACCCAAAACATTAATGTTTGGTATTAAAAACCATCACTTTTTTTAGAACTGATATTAATGCCGAAAATACATAAAATCCAATTACAAGTGTCCTATCAGAGGTCAATTTGGTGTAGTTTTAGAGACTTGTACAGTTTATCTCGAGCTGTAGTCCACGTAGCATGAGAAATTTCATTACATGTACAACCAAATCATCTCCGCTGCAAACTGCAAAGTAATGTAACGAATCAAGGTCTACAGCTGCGAATTCAAGAAGTCACTGGGGCAATCCCCCGAATATAGACGATGCATGGGTGATCACGACCGTTTGAAAAAGACTCCAAGAGAAAAATTACAAGGTGTAACTCTAAAGAAGCCGTGGAAATGTCTATTGAATCCTCGTGTTTAAACACCAAGCTCGCGTCAACAAAACACCGCCGACTGCACCGGGTTAAACTAACACAGGTGCGCTTACCGGTAAGTGTGCATCGGCGTTAACCGGCGGGCCAGCCTCGATGAGAACACCCATAGAACTCATTGTGTGGGCCCGGTATTCAGTCGACAATGCATTTCGCACTGCGGAGTTTACCGTTCGGAAGCCGATATTAGGACGTCAAATACACGGGACAAAAAAGTCAGGAGAAGGGAGTTAAGAAGTTAAACAGAGCCTTGCTGGTGGTGAGAATAAGGGAAAGATGGGGGGAAAGAAAGTGGGTATCGGTATGCCAGTGCCAGAGAGGTGGGTGGTGGTAGGAAAAGACGATGAACATTATAAACAGCACATCACATGTAATTATGCAAAAGCAGCAACCCATGTTTTCAAAAGGAACTACATATTGGACAAGAACAGATTCGAAGTAAGAAGGATGATAGTTGTTAACAATAATTCATACTTTCTGAGACTCGGACCAAGAACACAGACCCAAATTTTTAATTAATTAATTAATGAATGTATTTATTTATTTTAGGCAAATGCAGACTCCTAGCTTTATTAAGGACACTCGAAAAACTTTCGAGTGGGCGAGTAGACGCAAACTTTTGAAAACTACTGTGATGCAATATAGGTACGTGCATAACCAGGAATATCAACGTGAATATTCGATGGGAAAAGCTTTATGGAAAGATGTTTTTGGAAAAAGGAGACACTAACTGTTAAGAGTTGTAAGCTTTGGACATAGACACAAACGACTGATCCGCGCCCAGCATCGTGTCGGCTCACAGTGCCGGTAACAGGCATCCCCGTTGGTCTTTATGAGTTCATTCATTCACATCGTATATCGCACATCAAATTTTCATTTTACCAAAGTACCGTATCGAAACCCCAAAGCCCAATTACCGGAAGACTACGACCTAAATCCCAAATACCTTGGCTCTTCTGCCTTATCAAGTTCTTGATTTTGACGTTTCCTAATTATTTCCAAACTCTGTCCTGAGCGCCAACTGTAACTGATAATCAGAGAGAGATGCGTACCCAACTACAGTAATGCAGTACAGTGGTTCAAACACGGTATTTGTTCTATGAAAAGGATCTTGGAAAATGAGCAAATTGTCTAAAAATCTGAGAGACTTTTTGATAAACTTTTTTGTCGGATCAGATAACCAACCACGAACTTTTGCATAATGTGACGGCATACTAAAGGCATGCGAGAGCTTCACACACAAAAAAACAAGACAAATTTACGACAAATCAAACAGCGATAAAGATAACGAGGAGCGAGAATAAATTGGAAGAGGGTGTGGGGCTCATTCACGCTAAATCACGGCCCAGGTGAGTCACTCCATTCACGGTGTAACTTGTATTCCGTCGTAAACAAAAGTCAACATAACAAAGGTGTTTACTAGATTTCATCATTGGAGGTCTAGCTTTATCGGTGTTGGATAAGAACGAAGTGAAAAGTGTTGTGATTCAAGTTGTGATTCAAAAGCTTTTTTTTGTTTTCGGATGACGACTGGTGACAGTACAAATTAGACTGAAATAAAAAAAGGGGATAATAACTTGCTGGAAATTTTGAGACGCCGCACGTGGGATCAAACGGAGCCGACCCCAGAGGACATGCTTGATTCCAGGCAACAAAGGAATTTTTACGGGCTGTCGTTCTCTGTCCACGTTTAACGGCCCCGCTGCATTTCCGATTTTTTGCCGGTAACAGAAAATAAAAGCAGGTGAGATTTCTAAAGTTTCGCTGGGAGAATTGGCCTCTTTTCTGGATCTCTGTTAATGTTTATCGAAGCAATGCAGTCGAGTCAACTACCGGTACGTTTTATGATATTTTGTGGTTATTCATTCCTGAAAGGGAGGGTTTACCTCTGCACTTTCGGTACCTCCACGAAACAATATTTGGAAAAAGGGGGGGTTATTGCGGAAAAGTACAGCTACACCTGCACTGTACAAACGAGCTAAACTAGTGATTTCAAGCCTAATTGAAAACAATTATCGGCGAGTGTATTTTTCGGCAGAGAATTAGAAGTTTTGTGAAGTTGGTTTCGTGTATCAAAATATGGGTGATATAATGAAACTCTCCCTCAACTATTGGTTGGATGCAGGTAAGAACCGGCCACTGTGGTTATAGGACGTTCTGATGACTTCTGCGCGTTCCTAGAACCTAGCTCCAGAGTTTTTTCGAATGTCATGTTAAAATTCAATGTTTCAAGTGTAATTTCAACGATGTAGTTAACGGCAAAGGACTGGAGATTCACATTTTATGATAGAACAGTTGGAAACTATTTTTTTATGGAAAAGAAAATTCAAAAAAGGGAAAAGAAGTACATGTGCATGTATATGCTGTTCTGATTTTGGAGAGAAACACTTCACAAGTGAGGCTGCATCATCTCGAAACTTACTTGTAGGGGAATATTTCTGCTCGTAGGGCGGTGGAGGATACGGTGTCGATCGATGAGTCCGTAGACTGCTGTATCTCTCCACGGCACAACTGTGAGATACCGGGGAAGGCATACCAAGTGACGGCGGGAATTGGTGGTGTGGGCTCGGTGGACAAAGTGTCCCCGCACTCGGTAAGAACCAACTGCCAACTATCAGAATGACACAAAAGAGGACTGTCATATTTTTGAAACCCTGCAACTGGTTTTTAGACGTGTCACTTAAATTTGGATTATAAACCTTAACTTGACTATTCTGACGCACGTGCTCTGTTTAAGTCAGTTACGTTGCTGACAACTATACAGAGTTCGAATCTTTGGTCTATTTGCCTACGAATGATTTTCTCAAGTCATGTGCAGCATCCTAACAGTGGAAATTAAACCTTGGGTTCTAGAATATACAATGTACAAGGAAAAAAATAGCTAAATTCTGTTGGTGAAAAAGTTTTCAATTGCGAGCAGTTTGGAAGATTAGCAACTTGAGGATGTCAGGTCGAATGTCTATGAAAAAAAACAAGCCTTCAAGCGCTCTGCCCGAAATCAAGAACGAAGGGTCGACGATGAAAGAAACTTCCGAAGCTCGGATCATGCTTACGTTGTGGGTATCTCGGCTGCTGGTGATCGTGGCATTCGTCGAGATCATGCTCGCCCCTGGAGTAGTAGGAAAGAAATTTTAGGTTATGGGAGGGTGGTTTTTAAGTTCCAGACACAAACGAAGCTCGGAACTGTAAAATTCTTGACCTCACATTACTACATTAGCAATTTGATATTTGTCTTTAAAAGTTTATAAAACCTAATACATCTACAACTGGAAATCTATCTTTAAAGGGCACGTTTTACTCACTTTTCTTTGATGTCAAGGAAGGCTTTTGCAAACGGGTTGAACTTTATCTTGAGCTGCGTAATCTGTGAAAAAGTACCATAAGCAAAATAATATTGAATTACATGATGAGTCTCTGCAGTAGGGCGAGTTTATAAGGCAGACGTGTCGCTTATATCTTAAACAGAACAGATTGAAGCACAACCGAGGTTAGGGTTAGGAATCGACTCACGAAAAGAACTCTACCGTGGCAAGTTATAACTGAATCACCATTACAGAATGTTGATTTCAAAACTACACTTTAACATCTTAAATACAGTTGGGTAAGGTTTACAGCGAGTAACTTTCTAAATGTCACACACTCACATCTTCGTTCTGGTAGGCCGTGACGGCGATGAACTGCGTCTCGGGAAAACTGAAGCTACGGATGAGACGCTGTTTCTCTGGCCCACCGACTCGTATGACGTGGATACGGGGCTCGTACTTGTGGAGTGAGTTTAACATGATCTGCAGCAAACAGATAAATATTAACAAATGAAAGGTTTTACTACTTGTGTTTATGACTACTTTGTAAGCCTATGCTACTCAAAACGTCATAGTCAAACGTCATGGTCATAGGATTGGTAATGAATGTAACACATTAAACGTGACAGAAATGGACTGGACGTTTTAATTAGAAACTGTGTGGCATGGAATGGACACGGTACATTACGTGGGTGGGAAAAGTTTGTTTCGGTGGAACAAGTTAGCTACAGGATAAACTAGGTTTATTACAAGAATTAACCCGACTGGAATTTTTCATTTGATATTGGAAGCAAACTAATTCGAATTAACGGTTAATTTGTAAGTGTTCGAGATTAACTTTCAAATTTCATAAGAGGCTTAAGACGTATATAGTGGCTGTCTTATGATGAGTCGGACTGTGAAATACATACATGTAATTTGAAACAACTTGGCACAAACATTCTTCTGTTATTTTCTCCAACTTTGAACTAATTTATGTTACTGAAAAATACGATTTCGATATCTCGTTAAGTACGGTACATGAAAGCTTAAGTCTGAATGTTATCAAAGAAATGCGTTTACCTGTCCTGTACCATTCAGTTTGTTAGACAGCTTCACTTTGCTGAAAGACACGCACTGCTTCATCCAGTGCGCGCCGAAGTTGGGTGAGTCCGGGTGGATGTAGGCCGTGCTGGGCGGAGGAGAGTCCGGCTTTCCTCCGGGTACCCACTCGCCGTTGACGTACTTCCAACGGTGCTCGTCGGCCGGCGTGAAGTCTAGCAGGATGGAGTACATGGCGTTTGGATTCAGGCCGGTGACGGAGGCAGAGAGCACGGGGAACATCCGCCTACAAAGTGAGAGTGTGGGGTTGGATAAGACCGGAGTTAATTCACATTTTCTGAGGTTAAAATGTAGGACAATATTTCTATCTTCACGAAGTGTCCTTGAAAGTTCGACACAATTTAGATACATGTAAGTAACACCGACATCTTGCTTTCACGTTTTTATATTTTGAACGCAAAGATCTTCGAATTGCCTTGGTAGAAAACGATTTATATGAAAAATAAATGCAAATTAGAATGTATGGTTTATACCACAAGACATAGGCTATCGATATTCATAAAGTGCGATCAGGTGAGCACTAATCGACAATTACAATACTTAGAATATAGGAAGGGTTAAAGTAAGTGCAATTCACGAATATGTCATTCAAATACGAGGAATAAATGTAGTTTAATAACAATCAAAATCAGATGAAAATGTTGGCAAAACCAATCTATGGAACTGAATATTGATTAAAAAAAAGAAATTCATACAAGCAGATTAAAATCGCAAGATTTGTGCTACATCGAAAAGCACCGTCAGTTAACAGTTACCAATGATACAAATGAGTTGTCAAAATATCATGCAAATATTTTTTTATTAATGTTTAACTCAGAAGCAACAGGTTTCCCCAGTAGTCCTTAAACGCAGAGATAGAAATCTTCCCACAAAAATTAATAACTCTGTCACTACTGATCTCTTGCATGTGAGAGACACTGACCTTCCGGACTTAGTGACTATCATCTCGTTGGTCAGTTTGCTGAACCGCCTCCACAGGTCCCGGTCCTCCAGCGTGACTTTCAGCCCCTTCTCGCTGGGGTCACCCTTCTCGCTGCCCCGCGTCATCTCGCTCTGAACTGCGCTCAGCAGGTGCGCCACGTTGTAGGTGGGAGCTCGCATTGTGTCGGCACTCATGATCTCTCTTAGTCAATTGATGCGGCAACAGGTCGGTAAAATGTCCGGAATCTGTAATACAGCTTCGATATTTGTAGACACTACACCGAGTGGATTTCCCGTTAACAGAAATATACACTGAAACCACAACTCAGAAACTCAAATGAAGCTCTGAAGTTAAAGTTGTAATGAGATTAAACGTAGGGGTCCAAAGCAATGCAATGAAGTTGTGAAGTCATACCACAAAAGTCTCACAGGCTCGTTTCGAAGACGGCCGATTTTCAAAACGTAGAGCAGGTAGAAGGCCAAGAGGTCCGTGACACGTGAACGTCGTAACCAAACTGATGTCGAGTGGGTGACTCCGGTCCAAGAAACCCCGCTCATCGGGGTGCTCGTCCCGCAAATCGGTTTGGCTGAACTTGATTGTATAATTCTGACACCGCAGTGCATGGCATTGTGCAGGGACGGTGCATCAAAGGGGGCACCAACTGAAGTTAAAAAGTCTGCCAACATCGTAACCCTCAGTGTTCAAACAATGCGGTGGCGGTGAGTGCTGGCGGACCTCTTTGAAACCTGGCAAACAAAAGTAGCCTGAAGGATGGCTCTACTGATTGGTTGGCAAGTGATGCATATGCAGCTTTACAAACTATGTCATGAATATTCATTAGCATTCGATACATTTATTGAGCGCGTGAACATGCATATGCATAAGTTGGAAAGCCATTGAGGGTGCTGATTGGTCGGAATGCAATTAGACTGTCTAACAGGTTGATTACTGGTGTCAGTTACAATGAGCTGTCAGCGCTGGGATCTTAATTGCTGGCGTAACGGAGGATTGTGGGCCATCTAAAGCCTTCTTCACACTCCATGCACACGCTTTTGCGGGTTTGTTATCTCCTTTAATGGGATATATGGCTGGTGTTTGTGTACTGGAGATTGGGGACCTGTAATTTTTAATAACGGGGGTGTGCAAAGCCGACTAGAGGAACGACTAAACACGTTTTACGTCACAGCACCCGTTGAAGGAGATACTTGGTTGGAACCCAGAGATGATTCTTTTGTTCTGAACTGTAAGACTTCGTTCATTCGGCACACACAGTGGAATCGAAATGGAGCATATAAAAAAGAAACAGACCCTCTTAAAAGCTTAATGAGAAGCATATTACGTGAACTTGTAACCCAACTAAACTTGCTTTTGGAATGCCTTCTCTATGTTGATTAGAAGAGAAACGATTCCTGTATTTTGTTAACGCCACCACCGTTGAAATTTAAAGGCAGTTAAAACCTTGGTGACGAATGGAGGGAACAAACACAAAAATTAAACGTAGTCAAAAACCTTGAGAAAAAGATAAATGTTGAGAGTGCCTGACGTTTTCATACTGATGTGAGTCTTTTTCGCAAGAAAAAAAGTGTCTAAACCAAAAAGTAGGACCTCTTTCTGTTAGTACACTGATGATCATGCAGTAATATGAATTAAGACAATAGCGAACAACCAACCGACAGGGAGAGGGAACGAGGCTGATATTGCTGGTATATATTCAGTCGTCACTTCTCATTTGCCACGTGATAGTAAAGGGTCCTTTGGTTGGACTAAGTGTGTATCTGGAGTTAAGACATCAGTTAAGTACTGTCCGTGCATCTGCCCCAAAAAGGCACGGTCCAAAAGGCATAAACACTTGAGAGCCGAGGGCCTTGTCAGCGGGAACAATGCTGTACCATCCCCGGATGGTTTTATGACACTCGGCGGCACTTTAAGGATCGGGTAGAGGGCCTCTGCCATGAAGTGACCCCTCTCCCAACCTCTTATGTCCAAGGATTAATTAGTTTTGAAGAGGTACTTGGCTTTGGGGGAGAGTCGTCTTTTTTGTTTGGAGGTTGTTTTGTGATCGGTGGGTCAGTCAGTCGGGCAGATTTTTTGTCTAGCAGTTCTGGGGAACGCCAACCAGCTAGACGGAATTGCGGTTTTAATCGATGGTCATAGGATGACCGCTCAAGAAGACGGTCTCGTTCCTTTCATTCGAGACACTGGTGGACGGTGATCTCAAGAAAAGCTGCCCGAAACGATTCTTGGAATACTGTTACGGATTGGTGGTCGGAAACTTTCGTTCATACCTTAGAATGACCGCGAGTTGACCGACTGACCAACAAGGAATGACCCGACTGAACCTTCTATCGTCATGGGCTGATGGCGATGCCCTCGATAACCTTTCGTTTAAAAAGAAACCTGTACGGCTTCTAAATACAACTTTGTTACTTTTCAAGCCCCTCCAAAAAATAGTGTATGCAATAGAATTTCACAACAACCCCTTTGGCAGAAATTTCAGAAAATGATACATTGTTTGATGTTGTTTATGGAGATGGGGTTTACGATTTTCTGGGTCAATACATTTTATTGTCACGATTCAGGCCTTGTTCACGTTGCGGAAGGGTAAAAATCAAACAATATTACTGTCTCAAAGAGCTCGCAATGTTGTTTAAAGAGATGTTTGTACAAAGGATAAATCGACAGTTTTTCACTTTAGCCGCAGGAAACTCTGTGCTTATCCACTGAGGTTTCGTTTTCATGGGGGTCGTCATTCACAGGAATCACCAATTATGCTGCAATCTCTCATCAAAAGCTCCTAGTTCCAGTCCACTGACCCTCCTTCCCCCTTAATTAAAAAAAAAACCGAAATTTAAAAAACGAATTTTATGAGCAGTTTGACCCCTACGGTTTACTTTTCCACGTCGCGCGGTACTGAAATTTGCTTCAGCTTTTCGTCGTTCTCACTGTGGATTCCTGCTGTTCATGTAGGCCTTGGAACTCTTGAAAAATATAACACTGCCCTACAAAACTACTGCGATTTCAGAGACGTATGCACTCGATGCTGAATAATTCGTGAATTTACCAGGGGATAGGAAACCTTTTAAATCGCATCAAGCGTAGTTATTACCGGCTCGACAGGCACTTCTTGCCGTAGCCCGGTAGCCGGGCGCAGTTAATTCCTCGGTGCGCTCCTAGGTTTGGAAAAACCTCAGTGTTTGCCAACAACCGCAGACAAGCCTCTGTTTTGTGCCTTGGTAGACTCAGGCTAGTCCAAGATAACATGACGATGAGGCATAAGAGCTAGAAAGGACTAAGAAAATAAGAGCGATTTAAAATACGCGGGAAACGTACGATTTTATTTTGTTTCCGAAATGTAGGCCTATCGGAGTTCTCGATAGGCACCTACTAGAGACACAAATCAAGAGAGCTGATCCAAAGTCCTCGGTGGCTCGACTTCCCTGACAATATATTGTCATCATTATTTTCTTTACATTTTCCTTTTTGATACTCAACATGTCTTACTTCTGTGGAGAAATAGGATGACAAAGTACATGCAAATGAGTTTCTGGTGTTATGAATAATTTATGGACCAAACATACAAAACTGCATATTTTTAACAAGGAGATTTTGAAACCTTACAGGTCTGTGAATGTTTCTTAATTAAATTGTTACGAAAAAGTCACGTCTAAACGTTTACAGCTTACAACCTCACGCGATCCATCGAGCAGACTCATGTTGTTTAGAAACAGCTCTTTATAAACTGTGGGCAGAGTTTGAGATATAGCAAAAGAATCGCAGGTGTCAATTAAATGTTTCTGCAATCGCCTCCTTTGACCGGCATGTTTGTTCGCACGTACCCGTCGAATTAGCTCCACACACCGGGCGGTCTTTTGGAGCACAGATGCCGAAGAGGCATCCGTGAGGTCCCGAATGGAATAAGGTACATTTTTCTTTCGGTTGGACAACGTACCAACACGGTCCAAAAACTTATTCAATTAATCAAACAGAGATAAGTGGACAATTCTTCATTGTAAAGTGTTTGCTAATAGGACAGACGATTGTCATTTGGTTAAAAGAAGCAAACGTCTTGTTTCCCCTCAACAGAACAGAGAGACTAAGAATGTGACCAATGTCTACAAAAAAAAGACCCGTCCATTTTGCACTGCGTAAAAAAATACTATAACAGAATTCTTCTCAAGGGGTGAACGACAAAAAAGCACCATAACGTAAGTAGTAGATCACGATTTAAGTGACAATAATCTGTGAGTAGGCTTTAAAAATTTTTTTTTTACAGGTACGTACAAAAATCGGCCAAATATCGGTTAATATGGTCAACTAACACAATAGACAACATAGTCCAGTTCAGCATTGATTCCAATTCGCCAGTTTAGACTCAAGTCACACAGTTCTTTAGTTATTTTCTGTGACGTTAAGTTCAGCGCCTATGGCCCAAACAATATAGCTTCGTGGTTTGGGCCTGAGTCTTCGTGCAGAGCAAGGGTCCTTCCTTGCTGGGGATGGGAAGTTGTGAAAGTTTCCTAAGGCACCTGTGTTAACAAACGCTGTTTACATGAAGGATCATCTCACGAAACGGCAGCAAGCAAGCATTTCCATTTGTAGGTAGGGTCGCTGTCGAATTAAGATGATATCTGTTACCTCAGCAAGAGATCATTCAAATATCTTTATTAATGAATTTTGTCAGGTTAGCGCTAAATCTGAGATCGGTAATTACCTTCGGTAATTGTCACGAGTGGCGAAATCTCGGATTTTTTTAAGTCACTTTCCGAAGACGTTTACACCCAAATCCTTAATTGACGCCCACCTCCTTGGAAGAGAAATCCGTTGATGTTCCAACTCCTATGCCGTTTTCCAGTACTCAACTTCGGCTCCGTCTTAGGCTTCAACTGTCTTTTTTACTTGCTGACTTTGAAGCTGTAAGCACAGTAATCAGTCTAATAGTGCCACAGAACCTCAAATAAGATGCAAGAAAGCCAAAAATTACAGTAATCCAATATAATTTTAATGCTTCAGGCCCACAATCGGAAATTGGTTCCCGGGACGAAGCCTGAGACGGATACAAGTTGAGTATTGGAAAACGGCCCTAACTTGATTAGATAGTATGCACATCGACAGAAGCTTATTGGTTCAGCACTGACGTGCCTAGCAAAATTGCGTGTAAGGTTTGCATTCATGCGGGTGTAAACTGACGCCCCCTCTGCTTAGCTAGTAGTAAATGGTCATCAGAGACAGTATTGATACTTCCCGAGGGAACCCCAAACCGTGCAAATCACTTAAACATTAGCTTTGTATCCCAATGCCAAGTTGTTCACTTTTGAATGTAACTTACTTGATAGATACATATTTTTCAATAGAGCAACACTGGGCTGAGTATTGACAAAAGTCGCTAAGAACTACTGGTTAATGGCAATTATGTGCACGCAGCCCATTCGTTTCTTGATTTACCCTGCTGAACATTTCTTTTCAATACAGAGTAAAGATCTTCATGGATATCTCGTAAGTAATAAAAACGCGACAGTTTATGCTCTGATTTATTATATGCATGCATGAAACAGAATTAAGAGCATCGCGGGATCAACTCTGCGCAAAACATTTCCCAACTCCACACCGGATCACGCGCAGACCCAACGAAGTCAGCGCTTAGCGAGTAAGCACGAGCACTTGACGGGTACTTGTCGCACGAATGCTCCGTGAAAGTTACGCCAATCCCCCACGAAAGTTTCCCCAGACCATCGCACCCTCCAGGAGATTTTTTATTTTTAAACCCGCCCTGCACAAAACAAGCAACACCCTTTACAATGCCTCCCCTCACTCGGCAAGCTCTGTTTTGAAAAGTCTGTTGAAGTGGTCTGTTTGCTCCCCGGCAGTTCCGAAACAAAAAATCGATTGATGGTTTGAAAAGAACAGGAGGATTTCTTGGTCGGGGGATAGAACAACTCCATTCTTCAACCATCTCACCTTGTTTTTGTGTCTACCAATATCGCTTTAATTGTTCCAGGTGATCTCCCCTGCCTCCTCCTACTTCTTGGCAGGGAAAGACCCCCCCTGCCTCCGGCCCTCTGGACTAATTCGTTAATTACAGAGCACACACGGGAAGAATAGCTTTGGACAAACATTAATTACGCGGATGTGTTTGGAGACCAGGAAGGAGAAGAAAAGTGACCGGGGTGAGTGGCGTGTCAGCCGGGCAGGGAATCACCCGGTGCCTCCCTGGCTGATTGCACAGGTGCGTCCCAGAGATTGACGGGGGTATCCCGCTCACTGTTTCATGAAATCTCTGTGCCTCGAAAAAAATTACTCATTAGGAACAGCCATCCCTGAATGCATTTCCATAGAAATTCAGCTTTTGTTCATTGTTGAAGTTGATTTGAAAGAAAATCTGTTACGCGTTGGTAAGGAAGCCGTCTTCGTCGGAAGAATGGTCATACTCTGTGAGAAAAAAGCACGTCCTTTCAGAATAAACAAGTAGAAAAAGAATGAAATCTGTAGGTTCTCTTCCAAATTATACAAAACATATCGTCATAAGCTGAACAAGATTCCTCGTGTGTTCCAGCTTCGGCATATCGTTATTTCCATCAGCTATCTGTGGGTCTTCAAGAAAAATAAAGAGCCAAGTTTGTCCTTTTCTCAGATAAATTGTAGCAAGGGTTTTTTCCTTTCAACATTACAAATTTGGATTGAAAAATCATCTTAATGCTGCATTTGTTTGACGAGTAATCGAGGAACCATTTATTAATTTCAAACTCGACAGATTCACCTGAATTCTAAATATGGATGAAAGGCTAACATACTCTGCCCTCGAAGCCTGGAAAAATTTCCGCACTTGCCAGGATGTTTGCCACCAGAATACCCAAGCAGCTCAAAGTAGTCTCAGGAAACAGCCGTCTGTCTTCATAATCCACGATCCTCTTTAAATACGGAAAATAATAGAGGAAACAATAACAGGTGAAACTGCCGTAGCACGCTCAAACAAAACGTGTTAGTGCATAGTCTCTGGCTGATTATGCGCATTCAAAAACCTCCAAGCCAATTGCCCACAGTTTCAAATCAAATAATAATTACAACGACCACAAATATCAACTGCTCGTCTTTTCTGCAGGGTGTGGGCGTGGGGGCTATAATAGAATGAAGAGGTGAAAAGATTGGAGGATGGTGGCTGGGTTTGTCTTTGGGCGTAGCCTGGGGAGACGTGTTAAGTTCTCTGGTTGAATGAGAAGGTGTTGGTGGGATATCAACTCCAAAGGGGGAGGCCTAATTGATTGGGTGGGCCAACAGGTTGATTGACTGGGGGTGTCTGATGGTGGGTGAATAATATTGCCAGGAGAAGGCCTACTGAGTATAGCCTACGTGCCAATCTGCGGTGTCATTTATGTCCCGAGTTGTTGGTGGGATCACAGACTTAATATGCTGTCTGTCTGAAGGTCTGTCTTCAAGAATGTGCACAAATGTACTCTGGTTGGAAGCAATTCTCAAAATTCTCACCGTCCATCAAATATCAACACTAGCCACAATGTCGCGTTCATTTTGCCCGAGATTTACATCACGTAAGTTTAAATACTGAATTTACGCCACGTGTTGCCTGCTACGATGAAAATCAACACGGTTGGGCTTTCGACTTCCTGCAAGTCGTCCAAATCATCACCTCACAATGTTCAACAGATTAATTGATTTTATAGGATTGCATTACATGGTCGATTGTATGTACTTACGTGCGAGGCAATTCATAGCAGGCACTGTCTTACAACTGTTAGAGAATACCGCCCTCTCAAGGTGATCTTTCCTGAAACAACATCTCCGCTCCCCAGGGGGTATATACAGCATGATTCTGTCATTTCAGGAACAAATGGTTAATCATTCGCAACAACCGTCTGCCGCACCCATTTATACTCCTGGACGAAGAGATGACGAAGTGACTTGTCTAAGATCGTGGCCATGGCTGGATTTGAACCCCGACCCTGCGATTAGGAGTTCGGATCCCTAACCACTGGGCCACACCTCTCATCAGTACAGATACGCCTAAAAAGGTCTGGTTCAATACCTACACAACACCCTGAACAATCGGTATGCACAGCGACACAAGCCTGACGAATATTTGTTGCCCCTCAAAAAGAGGGGAAAAAAGTAAAACTTTGTCAAAAGTTTCACCAATTATCAAAAATGTTTATTTTCAATGACACATAATCTTCTCGAAAAGCAGAGCAAATAGAAATCGAATTGCAGTGTACCAATATTAAAGGGGATGGGGTGTTTTTTATAACTACGTTGTAATTTTTATTAGTATTACATAATTTGAGCAGTAGCAGACACAAAAACAATCGCGTGATTTTTCATGGTTTTAAATTTGATCGAAATTGGGTCATTCTATAAATTTGGGGTCCAATTTCTTTCCCGTCCTTGTTACGTCTGGCATATGATTTTTAATGTTTAGAACTCATTGTTTTCCAAGATTGAATAAGTATTGCAACTAACCTGCCAGACAAATAAAAATAGTTTGACATCAATTTCAGTGATACATTTCTTATCAAACATATCAGAGGGTATACATGTCGGAGGGAACAGGGACCGAAAAATGTCACACTTTGGACCCCAAATTTATAGAATGACGCAGAATTGCAAAATTATATCGTCAAATCTGTAATAAGACTGAAAATATTCCATTTACATTTTACTTGTGCATTAGTTTGAAACTCTACGTTCAATGTACATTTATTGTGAATTCGAAAACTCTACAAAAGAACTGACAAATTATGCAAGCAAAATACTATTGCCATCACTTTGATTAAAAACGCAGCATTCGTTTGTTATAGCAATTTCAGTTTCAAATAAACCTCACCATTAGAGCAATATTTATAACTTACATCAACTGTACAATGTAGTGAAAGTTTCGCAAAGAAAACCGACCAAATGATTACAAACTCAAAGAAACGGGTCACTCTAGACTACCATACCAAAAATTGACAATGCAAACTTGCATGAAAAGAGTACCACAATAAACAAGCTTATTTTCCCGTACATGTATAACTGTCTGTAAAAAATTGACTATATCGTCCAATTCTACTGCATACCCACACACGCGTTTTGAATTACATTGTCGATTATAACTACCCCAACTCCTTCTTCGAAGTGATGCGCTAACTTCATTATTTGAAGACTCAGGTATGTAAATTTTAGGGTGCGATGCCTTCAGTCGAGTTAGGAAACAGAACTCTCACCGACCTTATCATTTTATGAAATTTACTTTTGCACGGTACTGAATTAAGTATTCCAGTGAAGCATCTTACAGCTTAGCTTTCATAAACATACATGCCTTTTCTTTTCGTGTCACATTTCCAACATGGTGGTTTAGCGAAGCCCCAAAATATCATATTTCGCCCATCAAAATATCAAAATCGCCTTTGGGTTTTTGTTTGTTTGTTTGTTTGTTTTTGTTCTCTTCCCTCAAAAATACTGTACCGGTCTTTTTTCCAAACGAGATCAATTGAATATTTTATAAAAAGATGCCAGTTCAATTCGACTGTGAAACCTTGTGACTGCAGTAGTCTGATTGTGAGAAAGAATGTAAGTACCCAAATCGATGTTCGCGAAAGACACGCTGTCAGACACGTGTTGTTAACATGTTTAGTTATAAACACCCATCCTTTCCTTTCAAAGGAGTAAATCTCAGTACAAGTACATGTACATATATGGTTCTCACGACATGGGGAGTTCTACTGAATGAGCTCGATGCATTCCCTCAGTGGGTACGTCGAGTGTTGAACGCTGGTGGGACGTTGAACTCGATGGTAGCGGGGTCCCAGGCGGTAATTCCAAGGACGTATTCTCCGTCCGAGACGCAGAGCTCTGGTTGCGACCGGACTCGATGTGGCCAGTACGGTTCTGCATAATCTGAGCGTACACGACAAGGTCGTCTCGGGGGGTGGGACTCCGGGAGTCTATCGAGCACGACGCGTTGAAGTCCAGTCCGGAATCGGACAGGGCGGAGTTCCGTGTTGCGCTTCTGATTTCTGAGTCGGCCGGCTGACTACCGCTGTTGGATGGCTGGCCGCTGCGTCGATAGTGGTCCCTCGTTCTTTCATTCCTCGGTCGACGCTGCTCGTAATGATGCCTGGTACCTGAACGTCTGGACTCATCACTTATGATGAGCGGTCTACCAATTGGGGTGGAGTGGTAATAGTTTTGCGATGGGATATGCGTATTCCGTGGAGAGGTACCGTCGTCGGGAGAACAGTTACGATAGTTGGGCGACGGCGTTCTCTGCGGACGATGGTTAGCGTTGCGATCGAAGCGTGCTCGGCTCTCATGCGAGGTGTTATTATCTCGAGTATCATCATCCGGGCGCGATGTCCTGATTGCCCGAGTCACGTAAAAGTCTGTGGAATCTGCGTCGCTCAGTCTGCGTACCATCGGTGATGGCGACATGCCGAAGTTCTCGGCCGCCGACCAGGTGCTGTTCATACTGCGATCGGGAGAGAGTGGTCGGCGGCTTTTGTTGCAGAAGGTGTGGCAAAACGGACGGCAGTCCAGCACCGCTATGGCAAGGAAGATCAACAGAACCACGATCGCTACCATCACTGACATGGGCACCAACCAGAGGATGAGTTCTTCTCTGGATATGGTGGCTATTTGGGTTTCTTCAAAGCTTATCATAGCTTCAACTGTCGTTGAACCCACCTCGTTTGTAGCCTCACAAACGACGGGAATACCGCCCAATTGGTCCACCAAGTTGTTGACAAGGATCTGAGAATCTCCTCCCGGTGTCTGGATGAGGTCAATCCCAGTGGAGGAGGTGGTGACAGCGGCACCGCTGTAGTACCACTGAAAAGTGACGGTGGGCGGGTTCGCTGTAGTCAGGCTGCAAGTGAAGCGAACATCATCGCCCGCCTTGGCCGGGAGAAACAAGGGGGAGATGGTGATGATGGGACGGTGCCTTATGCTCAGAAAGCCCGTGGTGCAGGACGAGGACTCCTTACCTGGTGACGATGCTATGCACTGGTAGGAATCGGCGTCGTCCTGCGCGCTCAGTGTGACAGTGTGTCTCTTGATGAGGTAGCCGTCATCTCGCAATACCTGCCGAGAATTGGAGAGATCGGCGGGCGTGTTGAGCCTCTCCCACGTCAGCGTGGTTTCGGTGGAGGGGTTGCTGTGGTAGGCACACGTCAGGTCCACCACGTCGTCTTCGGTGAGTGCATCCCGAATGCTTAACACGCACAAGGGAGCCCCGTCGGTGGGCAGGTCCAGGACGGTCAGGAGCGCTTCCGAGGAGGTCAGGTTCGCCGCCTTGGGACCTGAGGAGGAGGTGACCATACACACATACGACCCCTGGTCGCTTTTACTGACCCCTAACAGCTGGAGGTTGTATTCTCCCTGGGAAGCATCGCCAAAAACAGCCCAGGAAGTCGACGGCCCGGAGAGCCCGGCCTCAGGGCCATTTTCCTTGAAGAGGATGGTGGAGTCCTTCTCCCAAAAGAGGATCCCGGTCTTGTTAGCCACGCGGCAGTACAGCGTTGCGCTCTCCCCGGGTAGAATGTATGTGTTTCGAGGTTCATTAACGAAGTGTTGCTCCTGGCCCGCAACATTTCGAACCAATACTTTAACCATCAGAAAAATAACCAACCGAAAACACTTTCTCCTCATCGCATTAAACTGTGCTGTTCCCATCTTAAGTCACAAGATGCACAGATATTCAGCAATTGAAGAAATCAGATCTCTTATTAGCTCAATAAAGTGCTCGCCCTTATCGTTTTACATGAAACGCGATGCTGTCCTGTGGCTGGCAGAAACGTTAAAATCGTGTGAATACCTGTACACAATGCAGCGCCATTTTGAGTTGAACAAAGACCGGCTGCACTGGCATTGTGTTCGACGGCACACCTGTCGCTTTCATGCCAGGTAAAGTCATCAATAACGAGAGACAATTTTCCTCTCTACACGTCTGACGAGCCGAAAGTCAACCCCGATACGGTCACTCTTTTGACAGATTTCTTCTCCAGAAAGATCCAGGTGTCTCCACGGAAATCATCTTAGCACAAAAATGCAGAATATGATGATAGCACGCACAATTTGAGCTGCATTAGGCCTAGTAATTTTCAATGCCGTCCATTATTAAACAGCATTAGCATACGGCCACAGCGTCACATAGCGACGTGTTAACGCGCGTTGCTATAGAAGACTTTTCAGAGAAGTAATGCTTCAACGATCTCGACCTCTAACCAAAATTCTAGCGTCGACGGCTGTTCCGTGTTTTGTTATGTTTGAAACCATTTTATAACAGCATTTTAGTTGGCAATGTATCTAAGACAATACTTGTATAATTATTTCTACCGGACGTTTGCCTATTATGTTGTTGATGCTAAACTCTAATTCACAAACGTTTTGTCTCTGACATCAAGATTTAAGACAATACTGAAAACAGCCGTCGTACATGGGGTTTCCTCTGCTAAATGGTTCCTCAAATCATTATCGTGGTATTAACTTGACAAGATTAATATGGCATATTGACAGAGGATAACTTGCTCAAAAACAATATGGTGGTCTGTTTCAATTTTCAGACACCTCAAATTGTTTCCATATATAGTTTTGTGAACCTTTGAATAATCTCATTGATTTTTGGCAAAATTGTGTAAAATGATCATTAGATTTTTGTTACATTTTTGGTCCAACAATATACAACGACAGGAAGTAAATAGACTGGTTCCAAATCCCCGGAGATGATCTAGCAAAGTGTGACCTGCATGAAATGTGGGCTGAGTTATCTGAGGTACAAATAGATAGAAAATGAAATTCAGTTCATCACTAGCAAACTGCATCACAAGCAAACTGCAGATTTGACGAATATGCAAGAATGCATTTTTGTCATATCTGCAGTTTGCTCTCTGATTCTTCATCCCTACTTGTATCACTGACCATTTTCATAATTGCTCTACTCAAATACAAAGATTAAAAAATAAAAATTCGGTCACCTTGGCTAAAATAATTTTCAAACAATGGTTAAAGTTTCAAAACCGACCACTGATCCACAGGCGACGATAATATATGGTCATTGCTCAAGAAGCGGATCGAGTAAATATACAAAAATCTCAAGGAAAATAGGCGTTCTGAGAGGGGGCGTCAGTGACCCCGCCCTTTCATTGTACAATGTACTTCGATTTGGAAGGACACATCTTTCTGTTCATGTCCACGGTAAACGCTGCCCGTAGTTTATGGATTTTTGAAGGGAAAAAGACCACTACAGCCTACAGGTGAACATTCACCTGCTGTGTGCGGTGCTGGACACTACAGGTGAACATTCAACCGCTGTGTGCGGTGCTGAAGTGACACCTGGTCGAAAAGTAAAACTTCAAGCAGGAATCAGGTCCAAATTGCTGAAGCCAGATCATAAGAAATGATTCTACAAGAGTCGCTATTTGTTACAGAACTGCTGACACTGTGTGTAGAAATCCTCGTGTGTCATCTTCATCCTGTTTCCAACGACAAACAACTCGTTTCAGTTTTGGAATTTACAATTACAGAAATATCGGCTCATTTTGTGCCATTTCCTTGATAACGCTGCCTCTCCCTCTGTCCCTCTCGGTTCTGATTTAAACGCCCTCTGTTGACTGATTGGTAGTTTTTATCTGTCCCGATGTTTATCATACGAGTCTCGTCGATTTCACTCGATAATTCCTGTCCAGGCGACACAGTCTCTTCGCCTGGGTCACGCCTTTTAACCAATTAGAGGCAACAATCGTCTTAACCGAACATCTTCAGCAAAAAGGTTATCGCCAATGCAGTGACTAAAAAACAGGCCAAGGAAATCAAGTCGATGATGAGAACTCGCTCGATGTAGCTTAAAGACATCGTGGCGAACAAGGACAAATACCGTCCTACTAGTCTTCCCGCAGAAGCAGGTCCCTAGGCCTTGCCCACTAAATCGCAGTGTCAGGGTCACAAGCCATAAGCACCTTTTCAGCGAGGAAATATTCAGTCGAACTGCTGTGGTCAAAACACTGGTACATGTATACATGTACATGTACTTTGAGTGCTTAGTCCACGTAACAACGAAGCCTTGCCTGACAATTGAAGAATACTCAGAGCTAGCTGAGTCGTGGACAGACACACAAGAGAAGTTCACATACATAGTGTGCCGTTCAGACTGGCACGCACGTATTCACAGACTTATCCCGATTTTTCTTCCTTCTCATTATACAGCCTGGAGTTACCTGTGTGTTCCGTTAATCGGCACAGCCAACAGAAAGGACCAGGAAATGAACTTGTTACGCCCACTTCTATTTTCATTGCAAATCACGAGTCGATTCACTGTAGGATTAGACTTGTTTCTGAGTTGTCAGAGGGTGTAAAAAAGATGTTGAAGGCAACTAACTGTTGACTGTTGTTACTATTGTGTCATCTGAATATGGTCAGATTAATTACCAATATGAAGTTAGACTTTGAAATTCAGCGTCACGTGGTTGAACTTTTATTGTTCCAAAGGTTGTGTAATGAGCCAAGTGTGATGTGGAGTTTATGGCTGTATTACAAATGTGATCACAACATGCACGCGCACGACTAAATCGAAATTTTACACTTTATTTCCCCAGGATTGTGACCTTGTTACCAAATGCAATACGCAATGTTACCGAGAAATTATAGAAAGAAATCAACCATCATGCTTACGATCTATTCTTTTTCCAATCTGGTTGTAGTTTTACGACATTTACGATCAGCTTGTATAACTAAACTGAAAATTAACAATAAAAAGCTACATACAAAAATAAAACAATGAACAAAATGGTTTTGCACTCTACGGTTTGTCATTTCTGGCAGTAAAAAGGCCACATCAATAAGTCAGGGGTTGTACATTCGTGTGTTATTAATGATCATGTTTTAAGCATGCGTGTAATCTGAGCAATTGCTGTACCGTCCATCTGTACCTCATCGCATTTGTAGAGTATTACACAACACTGCTATAATCTGTCCTTGGAAACTGCTATGAGACATTTAAAAAAAATGTATCCTCATTCAACACAACATATTGCATCGAATGTATGTTACTACACTTGTAGGCCTACAACTGTATGTTGATTTTTTCTAGTAAATTGTGGTATTTACAATAAAGCTAACGTTTGAATTGGCATCTAGTTGATTCTTGAATACGGGCAATTCACAATAATGCACCTCCAAGAGTTTTCAACGCGTTGGCCAATCACCATGCGCGAAATCTGTCGGCCCTTTCCAAACGCGCACTAAGTCGACAGATTTCGCGCATTGTGATTGGCCAACGTGTTGCAAACTCACGGAGGCGCACTGTTGTGAAACGCCCGTATAATTTGAGCAGTCCATTCGGTCAGTTTCACTATGAGATCAACGTGGGTTTTATCCGACATTATTTCGCACTGAATTAGAATCTCCGTCTGTGGGTCATTTCTGTTTGACTCGGTTTCACTGTCCCCGCCCCCTGTGAACGTTGCTACTTGATGTGCGCCCTCTATCTATTGATCAACAAGACGTCAAGTGCACATTCACGGTTCAGTTTGGCGTCAATCACTCATTAATCTCAACGACGACTTGATCATTTAATACCACTTTCGTCTCGGGCTGTTTTCCTTCCGCCATCTCAGCAAGAGTGCGTGTCGTCTTCTCGTTCTTGGTATCCCGCTCACCAGCTTGATGCTCTACAACGCCCTCTGTTGACTGGAATGCGTTATTATTTGCCCCGCTGTTCGTCCCCTCTGATCCGTTGGCTTCGCTGGTGCCCTGTGGTTCGATCAGTTCATTGTCATCGTGGCGTGTGTTCCTACCCAGGAACATACAACGGCCTGGCCTGTAGTATTTTTTACATAGCAAGGACAGCACGGTAGCCGACACCAAAATCGTGCCGAGTATGACCGCATCAATGATGATTGCATTCTTGTAATTGTCCTCCAAAGCCATAGCGAGTGAATCTCTCAGTAGCCTGCATGCAAGTCAGTTCGGGATGCCGTTGAAAACCGGCGCACAAAAGGTTGCTTGATGCAGATATTTCCGCCTTTGCCCGCTTTCTTGGACACAGTCAAGTTCTCTCCCAATGCTTTCCAGAAATGGCTATTGACCCCGTAGTGCTGATAGGATCAAGTAAACTGCATCAATTAATGAAGTCGAAGACAGTAGTAATATCTCCGTTTCGCAAATGATGCTGTTGAGATGCATAGCCACGATATCCGGACGAGCGACGTCCTGTGCTACCCCTTGTTCGTGTGGATATGTCGAATGTTAAAACATACGAACATGTCCTTTGGTTATATCTCCTCTGGTAATGTCCCAAATAAACTCACCACTCCCCATAGGTACAAAGTCCTCAGTCGAAAATCCTAGAGATTAACATCCGGTTATATAATTTGGAGAGATATGGAGGTTCTTCATCAGTGACGGGGACTTTGCGCTGAAAGTTCAGTTTCGGTATCGGTACCGTCCGAATAACCGAAAAATAATTTGTCTTGTTCGGCTGACCGGCTAAATTCTAAAAAGCCAACTATGCCGCCTCCGGGGTATAATCATAGACCATCGATATCGTATCGCAAAAGGATGCGAAACTAAACTTGAAGAGAAAACAATGTCATTGTTTGACCAAGGTATCACTAGAATATGACGCAGACATATAAGATATGTATTCACTCATTGGTGAGTGACTGGGCGCACGTCCAACAGACCTTGCTATTGCGGTGATTCCAGAAGAAACTATGCGTGTTGCAAGAGGGCTCTATATTTATCTGATAGTAATGGTCTGAGAAATGGAGAAATCTAGACGTCATAAGAGGAAGTTTGGGATTAAACACGGACAAAGAAAGGGGCACAATAACATTGATTTCGTCATGGATGAACCAGGAATTTTTCGGTAACTTTTCTGAAGTGTTCCATGAGTCAAGCTCTAAAATATGCAAACGTCAAACTACGTGAAGTTATTCATTGTAATAGAGGAGGCGCCGCCGACAAACTGTCTTTTTTGTTTTGTTTGTTTTAAAGTTTTTGAGGCCTTTCTAAATCTTTTTTCCTTCGTTTCTTATGCTGTAAAGTGGTCACTCAAGTACTACCCACTTCTTTAAAAGCTTTACCAAGATATTAAAGCAGAATATGTGTTCTGATGTGGTCGGCTGTCAACGCCATTTTGAGGGGAACCCCCTCTTCGTGGATGCTGCATCCGCATACAGTTAATCTAATTCAGAAATTTATTTAATTTTTATCAATTCAGAAATTTTAGTTAATTTCATTTCTGACTTTTTAATGTACAGCGTTTTGTGATGTCACGGAAATGGAAAGTGTTTTTTAAATAATATGCTATTATTATTATTCATGTTATAAACTTAATGTAGCGATGGAAAAGTTCAAGATGCATTTCAAACATTACGTACGTGTCCACGTACTATTTCACGGCTTGTAAACCGGTGGATAGAGTGGTAGATCTTACTTAAGGAACAGCAGAGAAGAAGTGGCCTATCCTGCCTCTGCTAAGTAAAAAAAATGGTTTTGCGTAACAGTAAAGAAGAATGTGTAAACTTTTGGAAACCAAAAAATGACTACGTAATATTCACTTTCCAGTAACTGGATAATTTTATCTTAATATACATTCCCCAAGTAAGATTACTGGTAAACTATTAAAGAAAAACATCTCAGCGTATTTATATCAGTCATGGTTTATTGTGTTGTCCATTTCGACCACGCAGTTGCTAAGCGTGGAACAGCTAGCGGTACTTTTTGAAGATATGGACTGCAACCTTCCCGCTCTTTTCACATCAATGTTGTTTGCATCGGTGTGCGTTGTCGTCTGCTCATCATCGAAAGCGTCATTCGTGCGTACCATCGCTCCCGTCTTGCCAACCGGATGCTTCTGCTCCTGTTGTCTGCGCTCGAGTTTGACGTGCGCTTCGAGTTGGCTCTGGCGTCTTCTGCGGCGACAGGGTTCGCACACCAGACAGCCAAGGTGGGGTGCAAGCAGGCAGATAATCCCTATGACGATAAGCCCCCCGAGGGCTGATACATCTATGGCTATGATCAACAGAGGATCACTCTCTATCCCGTTGTCTGCGGTCCCTGGCGTGCCTGGTCGGAGGGGTGGGTTTGGAGGGCTGAGGTTAACCGAGGCATTTCCTGAAGAATTGACATTCCAGGCAATGCAGGTTATCTGGAGAGCGTAGTCTAATTCCCTGACGCTTGCAATGGTAAGATTTGACTGCAGGTCTCCGTTCACTGTCCCCTCCTCAATGGTATATCTTGACCGGGTCGAGTTCAAGGAAGAATCCGCCATGAGGTTGACGGTTTCGTTCCCAATCATCCACTGAATGGTTTCAACGGACGGGTTGGAATCTCCTGAGCACGTAAGAGTTACCGAGTCGCCAATGTCGGCCCCTGCGCTGGATGGCAGTATAGCCACGACAGGGGTGTGGAGCACCGCAAGAGGACCAACAGTACACGACCGCATTCCTTCCAGCGATGGGTGGTTCTCCCGGCAGTCATAAACGGCTCCATCGTCGGCAGGTGTGGCCCGCCAAATCACAGTATGGTTTGGCCCCACACCTGAACTGCCCACTCCTTTCCCCACCGGATTGTACCACGTGAGTGTGGACTCCGGTCTTCCACCGCTTGCGGTCAGACAGGTGAGGGAAATCTCGCCCCCTTCTGACAGGGGCTCGCGGTATCTCGCGTGACAAGATGGCCCCGCGGGTGGCGCAACAGCCTCTACAACCTCCAACGTCCCGGGCATTCCATTTACAGTATGCACGCCGTCCGACGTCAGACACTCGTATCTACCCGCATCCAATGGAGTCAAATCAATTAAAGTGAGATTGTGGTATCCCGTCGAAGAGTCAATATCCAGTTTGAATCTCGGCTGACTCACGTAATCCGCTGTTCCCAAACCCAAAATCAAGTCATCCGCCTGATCTCTCTCCACGAACCAATAAACGCCGTACATTCCTTGATTGGTTACGCGGCAAAACAGCTGGATACTCTGCCCTCGAAACCCCACGACATTCGCAAACTGATCGATGCTTGGCGCTTGAGCAACAATCAAATGGACCGTCGAGGAAAGCATTGAGAAGATGACGATGGCTGCTAAATTTCCCGCCATTTTTTCCTGTTCAGGCATTGCATTTAGTGTAATTCTACCTGCACGAAGAGCTTTCGCTGTGGAAGTGTAGCGTGCATACAGAACACACACTAAACATGTCGGTCAGTGCGTAACACATAAATCCAACCCACTGGCTTTCATAGAGAGATCCATTTTTAAGTTTATCCTGGTATAAATTAATTCCACTTACATAGTCATCAAAGGAACTTGTTCAACTTGGACAATACAATACCGATTTGTTTACTCTACAGTGAATCATGCGTAAGGAGTGTGGAGGCATTACAACAATGACGTGGATTTAAAAACAACATTCTCTTTCGGTATTATATATTTCTTTCCCTCTTCTGATATTAGCGAAATTGGGAAATTTGGAACCCGCCCTGCCACGATTTAATCGAATCTAGATAAGCCATTTCTGCATGTAATATTTTTTATAGATCAAGGGCACATTTTTGTGGCTTGTGCGCTTAGATATTTTTAGAGGAACAGAGGAAAAATATTTCATTTACACAATTTTAGCTCACGAATAACATGTTTCTTCTCAACTTGTCGAACAGAAAAAAATTTTTTGAAGAGTTTTGATGAAGACATGTGATGAAATTACTTTCGCAACATCAAGTTGAGTTAAACCGTACCATTTCACACACCTGCTTGTTTCACGTACGTAACTGGGGCATTCCTTTGTTCTCTTGTAATTAGAGAACTATATACAGGGAATTGCTTGTTCTTCCCTAACTACGATAACTCTTCGATCTGGATTTTTTTATGATTATTTTCTGAAGTGTTCCTATTCATTTCGGCATAGATAATTCCAAAATGCCTTTGAAGCTGTTCTTGAGCGAGGGAAGAAAACACTGTGCGGATCCACACGACGTCCTCTGACGGTCCATTCCTTTGGGCAGAACTCCACATTTTGTATGCCACGCATGCTCTCACACACCTACCCACGCAAGGACCAGCGAGAGGCGCATCATTTCTCTAGTAACAACGACAGCTATAAGGACAAACGTCTAAACGAGCTCGATTCTGTACAAACTATTTCTCTTACTTTTCATATATTCAAATCTTCCTAAGGCTGGGTACACCACTTGGTCGAAATACACACCACACATCACGGACACCAGTCTGTCTCCCGTGAACAGGCATGTGGACTGATACAAAGTTTAGGCCATTAAGCGTAGGGGGCGCTGTTTTAAGCGTTCCGTTACCGACCTCTTTTATTTCGAGGGCTAAAGATCCAGACGGTGTGTCAACAATTGAATAAAGACTTCTAAACATCAAAAGCAAGCTTTGTCACGTAGAAATCGCATGCTTTCAGTGCATCCACTCGATTCCCATGCACAGCTGTCTATTGTGAAAATACAGCCCCAAGTATTGTCATGAATTTCCAACTTGTAATAAGACCACCGGGGAAATGAAATGAATGAAACTTTGGTTTCGAAATATGTACTTCAAATGCAAATGTCAGCCCAAGAGGTACAATGAAAGCCTCCTCCATTTGTCTGAGTCACCCACAACAGGCTGCCTTATTTACATCTTTGCTTTACTGAACTTGAAAAGACCGGCTTTTAAGCCGCAAAGCTCCAAGCCAGACACTATACCCTTAGTGCCAAGGATCTATTGTACAGCACTGTTGCCACGCCCCTTAACAGGTCGAGGAGGAAGCCATGCGGAACCTGCCGAAACAACTTCGTCAGCATTAAAGGATTCATATACAGGAATCCCGACTTAAAATCCACGCATCATCAGCCTGTGTTTGAAGCATTTTCTAGCTGTCTCATTGAGCCAAGCTGGTATAAGTATGGCTGAAAAAGGTGTCACGAAACACCGTCCACAAAAGGATTGTGATTGAACATGAGCAACCAATATATGAGCACTTGATCGACAACCCCCGACATAAAAGTTTTCAGCGGGACGATCTCTTTAAAGTTATTAGCGTGAAGTACTTGGCAGCTTTGCGGAAAGGTCACAGCCCAACCTACGCCAAGATATGTACAAGTACATGTATATAGTTTTATATAGACCCGAACACCCTTTGTGTGATAAATCTGCGCAGTGAAACATTTCGACTGTTTGTGACGGGATTGTGAGGGTGCGCCATCTTTTTTCCGCCTTGAAGTTTGGATGTCTCACTTTGGATTCTGAGGGTATCGATACTGGACTTTCTGATATTTCTGTTGGATTTTTCGTGTTGTATTCTAAAGTGTGAGAAGTGTTTATTATTTTGCCTTAACGGGAACCAACTTACAGAAGTGCAAGGATGGCGGCTTGGAACAGTGTGAGCGTGTTAAGTTTCGTCGCTGTTGTGGCAATCTCCCAGGTTCTTGCACAATCGGCAACTAGTCCTTCCTTCGCCGTAACACCATCCAAAACAGATGGCGTTATCGGATACTCGGTCACCATTTACTGCACTGTCGCCAACTTGGGGAGGCACCAGGTGTTCTGGAACGTTAACCAGAGAGCTGACCAGAACCAAACAGGTGAGGAGTTTACGCTTGGCCCAAACACCAACCAGCATGCCTCCTACCCGCGCTTCCAGTTCGAAGGCGACAAGGCAAGCGGCGAATTTCACCTGCAGATCTCGAACGTGAGCTACAGCGATGCCGGGACCTACATCTGTCTGATTCGTGATCCACTCGACGAGGGTATCCCGGTCATGGAAGCCCAAGCGGAGTTAAATGTCGGTAACACGCCGATGTCTCCTGGCTCCCTAACCTGCAGTGGAATCCCCTCGAATGCACCTAACCAACAATGCGCGTACATGAAGGGCGACCTCTTAACGCTAACTTGTACCTCTGAAGGAGGCGTACCTCTTCCCGAACTTTCATGGGTTAGAGTCAACGGGGACGATTCAGTCACTAATCTGAAGGGTACGACCACTGTTAGCGGTGACATAAAAACGACCACTGCTAAAATCACGCTTTCTAGCAGGGACAATCAGGCGTACTACAAGTGCATCGAAGCTCACCCCAATCTGACCAATGACAGACAATGTTTCATGCCCTCTAACATTGTCTTCCCAAGAGATCGCATGAATGTTTGTTTCGCACCGGAGATTGACATCATACCGAAGACGATCACCGTAGAAGCTCTAGGGACCAAAAAGGTGACTCTCAGCTGCACAGCCAACGCCAATCCTCCGCTGAGCAAAACACAAGAGATCATCCTGCCGGTGAACAAAAGTGGAAACTATCCCAATGGTGAATTTGATAAGACGTTAGTCGAGGTTGAGATGACGACCGACGACGCTGGCAAGGACTTCTACTGCCAAGCGACAAACGCATTAAGTGTAAGCACAGAGAGGTTTGAGGTCATACAGGGGAGGATTCCAACATGGCTAATACTCATCATCATCGGAGCGATAGCAATAGTCCTCTTCTTGTTCATCGTTTTGGTAGCCTGCATCTGCTGCATTGACAGATCAAATCAGGAGGAGCAGGAAGGCGACAAGAAAGACCCAAGCCTTCTGGTGATGACCCCCAGGAGGTCCAAGCGGAAGTCCCTTCGGCACGAGGGGGAGGATGAGTTCTTGGACGACGGTATGGTCCCGATCGACAACTTCCAGGGTGGGCAGGAAATGACCTCGGACGAGTTCAAGGCGGAGGGGCCAGAGGAGATAGTCAACTCAGACTTCGAGACAGGAGAGACCGGTCCCAGATACCAGAACGTCAACGAGGTGATGCAGGAAGTACACAGCCCGCCAGAGCAAACCCCGGAAGATCAAACCCTAGCTTACTATAATCCTGAAGCCATAATCGACGACGAGGCTATCCGGGTGTAAATGGACTAAAGTGTTACACCTGCACTTTGATAATAACACTAATGACTAGATTACTCTTAATGCATCAAAAGATTGGGTATGGATCATATCTATTGCTTGTGGAAACTATTAAGTAGCAAGGAAACCCAAGGGCTGTATTTGATTAGATGGGTATTAAATTCTGTCGGAAGCCGGAATTGTGGTAATTAGTTCATCATGTAATTTGCTTAATACGAGACGATTTTGTCTTTTCACGTGACTTTTTCTGAATGTAAGAAAAAACGTTAAGTTTTAATAATTGTTCCATTTTCACGAGGGCGACCCTCTACGGTACACCCTCTTGAAATGACGTCGTCTGAACTGTTTATGATAAACACGTGATATACAGTAAGAGCAAAGTCGACCCGTCACAACTCGGAGTTTAGGCACGTTGCTTTATATACTTTTCCACCAAATATTATCATCGTGTGCATGTCACTTTACCCGTTTGTGTGTCTAGGGAGCTTTATTTTGGGGAGCTAGCAATGATGATTCTGTGGTTATGGGAGTGAAAAAGGAGTTGGCTTCAGTGTAAAACGATGAAAAATGCAATTCTATTCAAACATTGTGACATGGAAAAGTTAATGCAAAGCTGTAAATAAAAGTGCTGTTGAATTTATTTACCTACTTTTAGCAACGAGGAATCTCTTCTAACACAACACGAATTGTTAGCTTTTAAATTTTTTTAAAAGGAACTGTTTTATATTCTTGACATATACCACGTTCATTCAACTCATTAATTTATACAAGTTTGCTGTGAACAAAAACAATATAACAATGTTAAAGATGTAAAACTTTATAAATTTGACGCAAAAACCACTTCACTGAATATGGGCGATTCACGGACTTGGCAACGCGTTGACCAATCACAGTGAGTGAAATCTGTCGACCCTTTCCAAACGTGCGTTAGGTCGACAGATTTTGAGCACTGCGATTGGTCAACGCGTTGCAAACTCTTGGAGGCGCACTATTGTGAATTGCCGTATTGAAGTTCGTACTTAGAGCTTCAGATAATAGCAAATGCTGTAGTCTGTGGAAATATTTGTTCAAAAGCCACTGTAACCTGAAGCACGCATAATAATTACCGATTTTAATTTGCTATGAAAAAGTGCTATAATGTATACATTTTTATATGAAAAAGTGAGATAAAAGTCGCATATTTGTGGAAAGTTTGCACAACAAACGTCTTACATTTTGTCATAATTTATGGCCCACGCCTGTATTCGATGAATTCTGAATACAGTTTACATCGTTGCGAACATTTCCATTGCATATTGTATAAGACGTAAGGACTTTCTGTTCTTGTCAAATTTTTCTGATAGTTTGTTGACGGAAATCATACATGGGAAGTGTCCCAATATTGGAATAATTTTCCTTTATCCAATGAACATCAAACTTAACTCATGCACTCATCAGAAGATATGAGAAGGAAACAAAACTCAACTGCCTGACAAAATTGACAAAACGTTTTTCCTCACAAAAGTAGGAAGGCCTGACGTTTCGATGGTGGCAGAATTTTTCTAAATCAGGATGTAAACGTTAGGCCCTCCAGCTTCTATGATTTGTGTTTTAGGTCAATGTAGCCAGCAAGCAGTTTGCAGCAGTGTTTAGATTACATTTTTTGGCCTTTAAGAAAGATTCCGCTAGGATCGAAACGTCAGGCCCTCCATAGCTGGCGATTACATTTTTTCCCAGCGTGTTGGACAGTTGTTTAGAGTGACAATAAGTATCGACTTTTGCCTGATGAAAGAGCACTTCACACTTTTGCACGCCCACTCAGAACTAAGGCGGCTAGGTTTATCTTTTTGTCAGAAGAATTAGGCACATCTTACAACACAGTGATCAAGCTCTAGAAGAAAGTATTTTCACTCTTCGTACCCTTGTTGTGAGTCATACCGTACAAAGTGAAGGGTTGTGGGGGCGATACTAGACTCGCTCTCCAAGCGCGACTAGGCATTCATTGTCCACCATTGTGCTTTCTGCTTTCATAAGTGAAAGGCGCGCACAGTAAACAAATCCACTTGCCAAACACTGACCATGGTGCCCCTTTTTGGATTGGCTGATTTAGACCATATAGGGGTATTGGAACGTTTCGTTCCTTCAGCATTGATGTGAATTTCTCACCGCTCACGAGATAACTCAACTGCTACTGGCAAAATGCTATATTTTACATAACTTCACCAATGGGAAATGTAAATGACGGCACAGCTCTGAAGTGCTTGAGTTCGTAATGCCTGCAAGGAACATCCCTTCCGTGAAATCGTTCTTCCCGTGCCAAAACAAAACTTCGTAAGGTCGAGGGTCAGACGCAATGAAAAGCCACACGTTACCGCGCCCAGGCGAATCATGAATAATTACTATGCGACCCTTTGACGTTTAAGGTAGAGAGATCGCCCACACATGAACTTGTGTTTCGATACACACCCCATAGGTCCGTCATTTGGACATTTCTGACATCAAACTTGATGCTTCTCCATAAATGTTTCACACTGAGAAGCGAAGCCTTAGAAACTAGTGGTACGGCCCAGTGGCGAAAGACACGTAAGGGTGCACGCAACCTTCTGGCGAGGTACTAATATAATGATTCTCGTCTCGTAAATTCAGGGGGTGATCTGATCAAAAATGGCTTCTCGGTGTAATGTGACGATTGGCCTTGTCGCTGTCGCTCTATTGACAATGACAGGTGTCGTGTCGCAGACTATCCCAGGGACGACAATCTCTGTGCGACCGAGCAACACAGTGGCAGCTCAGGGTCACACGGCCATCTTGTACTGTACTATCTCCAACCTGGGCCGCCACCAGGTATTTTGGAACATCAACCAGCGCACGGACGTGAACACCGCGGGGAAAGAATTCACCATCGGACCCAATGTCAACTCGCACGACAGTTACCCACGCTTCCAGTTCCAAGGAGACCCCAGCCAGGGTGAGTTTAACCTCCGCATCACCAATGTCAGGGCAGAGGATGCAGGGACTTACATCTGTCTTGTGAGCGATCCCAATAATCCTACATCCGCGGCAATGGAGGCTGGTGCCCAGCTAACTGTTATCGATTCACCACAGCCACCTGTCGATGGTTACCCCCAGTGCACAGGGGCACCAGACGGCAACCCGGTGGGGCATTACAACCAGGGCGTCGTCTTAACCTTAACCTGTGTTACTAGAGGAGGAGTTCCCCCGCCACAGCTCTCATGGGAAAGGGTAAGAGACGAAAATGTCACTCAGACTTTGCCGATCAGAACAGTCGGTAATAACGATGTTATTACCGCCACTGCCATGGTCACATTGTCGAGTGTCGACCATCGGTCGTATTACCGGTGTGTCGAAACCCATCCCAGCAGCGTTGCCAAACGATCATGCAGGGAACCGATGGCTGCGTCCGGCCCTCAACCTACCTTAGAGGTCAGCTTCAAACCGGTGGTCCGCATCACCCCCAGTGTGGTCAATGTCCAATTCCTGGAGACTGTTGCTGTCGAACTGAAGTGTCAGGCTTATGCTAACCCTACTTTGGACGGCAGGCCAGAGATCATTCTTCCAGAAAACAAGACTGGTAACTTGATTCTCGACGATGATCAGACGAAGACAGCAGTGAGGGTCGAGCTGACGACAGACGATGTCGGCAAAGATTTCTTCTGTCGTGCATCTAACCGGTTAGGCGTTGTCGATGCTGTCGTGGAAATCAAGCGACTAGGAGAGCTTCCAACGTGGCTGATACTCGTCGTCATTGGCGCCATTGCCGGTGTCCTCTTCATCTTCATCGTTGTCGTCGCCTGCATCTGCTGCGTCGACAGATCCGGGCAGGAAGACGAGGGGCGGAAGGATCGACTGCGATATTCCGTGAACAAATCCCGACCAACCTCCATGCAGCGTGACGGGGACGAGGATGAAGATTACATCGGCGACTTCGAAGAGGAGATGGCCCCCATCGAAGACTTCCAAGGAGGGCAAGAATCGGCCGCCGTAGAGGACAGCCCCAAGGAACCGAGTACCAGCAACGACTTTGAGACAGGGGAGAAGGGCCCGAGGTACCAGAACGTCAACGAGGCGTTCCAAAGTGACAGTTATTCGTTCTCTCAGTCCAATCCCTCGTCTACGGAGCCTATAATTGACCCCAACTCCGAATAGATACCCTGAGATGGAATACCCGCCAAACACATTGGCTTCGAATAAAGTAATGAGCAATGCTTACTCATACAACAACTGTCAAATAGTTAGATTATCAAACAACCCACAAATTCACTTTTTACAAAATATCAAATAACAGTGACGGCAAGGAGCATGAAACGGGAGAGAAGACAAAAAGATGTCATACATGTAAACTTGACTATTTAGAAATCATGTTTTTAATGCAGAGTCATCAAAAGTGCATCCATACAGAAAGAAAATTTATATTCCATTAACGCACAAGTTAATTGTCGCAAGCTATGCACAGATAAGCGAAACAAGATTACCTGCGGTAATTTCCAATACCTATAGAAAAATGCAAACAAGCCATAAAAAACAGGTCAATTCCATCAAGGTATCCAGCATTCAGGGCCCCACGTCCAAGCATGTCACAAGACAAAGGACGCTGGCTTCTGTATGCATTCGGAGGATAGGGTCCATGTCTTGAAGAAGTAAGACCAAACCTAGGGGGACTGTACAGTGCGTGTATGGCCGTGACGTCATCGTTTCAAACATGGCGGTAGGCTTAGCTTGAACGTTGTGGGCGCATGTACTTCTTCCCTGGGGCACACAGTCTTACTATTCAACATGATGCGAATGGTTATAGGTGCTCTAACAAAGATCGAGGTTGCAAACTTTCCACTTATGTCAATTTGTTTTCCAAGCAAAGAGGTTTTTCAGTGATGTACGAAAGTAATATTTTTTTTCGGAAATTTCATTTATTATCGTGATTAGTTACAGATGTACAGGTTTTTGCGTGTTAGTGACAATGGCAAGTCGCCACTCGGGTAGAAACAATGGCATTTAGTGCGTGAATGTCTGTTGCAGTGCTATATGATCATCCTGTATAGTCCACGAATGTGGAAAGCTATACGACCGGTTAGAAATTATCGAACCAAGCTCACTGACATTTCTTTGAAATCAGAAGCAAATACATGTATCAATAAAAGTGTTCTTGCAGAAAAAATTACCGAATGTCGTTGCTGAAGGCAATACAACCATAGCTTGTAATACTTTTACTCAACATCACTGCTGTGACTGTAATGACTACCTGTAGATGTTACTTAGATGCCAATTACACGATCACAATTTCACATGACCTGTATATGTGTGTTATGAAATGACTAATGATGTTTTGCTATAATGATTTAGTTGGGATACATGTATATGCACATATATGAAAAAGTAGATATAAAAACCTATAATGTTATGGCCTTTTTAAAAGTTTAATGAAGTACTTTATGAAATAATAAGATATTGAGCAATATTTTATGCAAAAATTAACATTTGAAACATGCAGAATCACCGAACCAACCTTACTGTCTAATCACGTGACAAACTGCTGATGGTTAAAGGAACTGTGTGGTGCTTGGCAAATTCGACCTTCCAATTAATAGCTAAAAAATGAATGATATTCTATCATGCGTTAGAAACCCTGTTTGTCGTAATATTTTATTTCTTACAGTGAATTACAATCCATGGAGAAAGTTCCTAATTTTGCCTTAGTCTAAAGTCTAATTATAACTACCTATGCAGAGTTGACTATTTTTATGAATGCAAATCATGACAATTTGTATATAAAAGAATACTGTCAAAACTTATCTGAGAATATTTTTAGTCGTCAAACGTCTGTTCATAAGTTTCGAAGTGCTATTATTGTCCACACTTATTAAAAGGGTTTAGCTCATTTTTTCAAATTGAAAAAAAGACAATCAACTTCGAAATGCAGCCTGAAGGACTGAGAAAACGTTTGCTTACTTAGAAAAGAAAGAAATTACACAAAACTTACTGATATCACAGAAATAGAAAGGCATTATGCAATGATTGAGAAATGTGCTTTATTTTCAGAAAAAAATTAAGTACATGTACTGTAATTTTTTGTTCCAATTGTGCACTTTAGTCTTTTAGATTTCAAGTCAAATGTCAGCTAGGTGTATATACAAGCAAAGTGCATTTTCTTGGTTTGCAATGCATTTTATAATTGCTTCAAAATGCTACGTCGAAACAAACATCTCTTACGGATCTGAGGTAATTTTGTTGAAATTTTTTTTAATCAAAATCAAGGTAAAAGCTGCTTTAAAGGTTTGTAAACAATTATTAAACGCTTTAATAAAAGTTCTTTAATGCCAAACAATGTGTCCAGACTACTTTTGTTTTATCGAGCTCGTATTATTGATTTGTTTGATGCATGTCCGATTGGTGTACTGAGATTTCTCGGGATATCATTAAATATCACCATCCAGTAAATGTGGAGCACTGAAACATATTGTATACTTCATTTTTAGCGGAGTTAAAGACCTGCACGATAAATTTCTTCAGGGCTGCTGCACCAAACCTACGAAACTGGCATACGACTGGAGTATCCTCTCTGCATATTCACAAGGGATCTAGAGATTCTTGAAAGCAAATATACCTGTGAAAAAAATTGATTGATTTGACGATTGCATAAAAATATAGGGCATTTAGATGCTTCCATCTCGAAAATATTTCAATTACCAGTTGAAGTTTTATACAGGCAGATTTATGCGATCACGGTGTTTTTGATGAAACTTTGAGCGTAGGATTCACTTATCAACTGGTTTAACGAAAACTGAAACTTGTCATGTTTGATACGATCTTACAAGAAACGCAGTGTGTTTGAAAAATGTTTAAAATCTTAGCTAAATTTCAGAGTTAGAATTCGTGATCGAATGGAAAGTACCTGTTGCTTTTCTTGGTCTACAATGGCATGAGTACTGTGGATTGAAAACCAGCTGCCATCTAAAGAAATTTCCGTGTTCAGGATGGAGAGGAAGCCAATATACAAAACGGTTCCCAATCACGTGAAAAAAACAAACGCCGTTACGTCCTGTTATCGGGTTTGGCCCCTAGCAGTTGCACGGAAATCTCTTATAATTGATTTTTCCCCCAATAATACAGCACTGGCTACACTCCTGGTTAAATTTTGGGAGAAATGAATCAACGATCATCCCAAAACGCCAAACTGTAAAAGGCCTGATTAAAAGCAGGTAGTCAACTGTTATTTTTATTTAGTTATTATGACAATATGTATTTCCAAAACATCTTTGTCTACAAACTAAGGCAAAACCTTCATCAAAATGTCTGCCATCATTTTTAGCTGTGACTCAAGCACTAAAGCACGTACGCAGGGGGTGGTTTTTTTTGGCGTGCCAATGAAAAGAATCAACATGCCGACGCCCCATGAAAACGTTTCGATCAGCATTCGTCTGAATAACAATCCTCATGGGTCGCGGATTACAAGGTCACGGCAAAGCAGGAAGAAAAATAGCTGGACCTTTATGATGCAAAGCAGCCAAATATGAGTGTCCTTCCTGTTTTGGCTTGAATCACGCCTATGCAAGAACGAGGTTGCTGAGGAAAAGGATCGCATTCAAGCCCTCCCAGGTCATGATGACTCCTCCTTTGTTAACTGTTAACTTGCCGAGACTTATTTTTTAGACTAAACTCTGTGCATTTTATAGTTACAAAAACTAGTGTTTATAATTTCAGGGGTATCCAATGCGATCTTACTTTCGCTCTGTTCCAAACGCAGCGAAAATGCCTAATTCGTTGGTCAAGAAATGGCTTATAGGTCGGTGTATTGTTAATGCTTTTGAGTGAACGCTTTCATTCCCACCAGTTTTGCTTATCACCAATGTGACAATTCACCTCCATGAGTGAAACTAGAATCTCGACCCAGAGTGAACACCACAATATCTACGTTTTTGAATCTTAGTAAACTGTATTTCAAGCTGGTATAGAGAGCACCAAAACCTATCAATCCGTTATACTTTATTCCCTGATCGAAGGATCAAAACTGAAAAGTATACAAAGATGGATTCTAACATCTCAGATATGATGTGATGATAAGATCTAGCTAAAGATTTCTTATTAGTACGCTAAGAACACTGAGAGGGTAAATGGAGAAAGCGAAAGGATCAATTCAGCCTTTAAGTTTAACCGAAACTGACAGACTGCCTCCCCTCCCAGTAAATGAAAATGTCCTTAAGGTCTCCTGATCCACTTGTCAATGATGTCGCTCCTCTCCTTCTGTAAGAGTAGCCAGAAAGGAGGGGATCATGAATAATGTGATTTATATTCCTACCAGATGTTTCTTTCGCTAAATAATATCGGCATTTACCAACACTGAACCGGTGTGAGCCTGCGTTCCCACCGAAATCCAGTCACGCTCCACTGATGTCAGTGAAAGCCACGATCAAATACATTGATATGCAAAGTGTACCGCCCTTTGAATGCGCCACTGAATGTAGTATGGGGACGAAGCTGCGGTAAAACAAACAACTCCATGAAAAAAATTATTTCCATGTCAAAAGACGACAGCTTACGATAAATTCCTTTATTTACAATTGGTTGCGTAAGTGGACGATGTCACATTCAAGGAGGCGTGGTGAACCGTTTGTTTCAAGGGATTTGTGAGTCACACCCCTAGAATAATGCGCTGTAAATTGTGATGGACGCACGCCATGGCGCTGACATTCGTGCATAACAAATAAGTGGGGTATTTTAAAAGGGATTTCCCTCCTTTGCACCGAATAAAACACCGATTGTATGGACCACCACGAGCAAGCTCCTTCAGAGAAAGTGTATACACAGTGGGTACACGAGTGCCCGGATGTTCAATTTGGACAGGCGTGACATCGGTGCAGTAAGTATGCATTTTGGTTCACCAAGGTTGTTTACTGGAACCACAGAGCAGTGGAACACAATAGTTAATGGTATTAAGGTCACCGTGGTATCGAACACCGTTGTCGCTGCCATTGCTGGTGAAGCGTACAGACTAGAAAGGAAAAAGCTTGGGATTTATCGAAGAAATCAGGTACAGATTGTTGACTCTGCCGGGTCAAATGTGAATCGGTGAACGGAAAGCAAGCACAGTGAACGGTATGACGATCCAACGAGAACCTTTCACTCATCTGCTGTACACCGGGCGTGCAGTAAGTCACCGGTTAGTTGAAGGGGCATTTGCATTAGTGTGTATCTAACCTTGCTACACGTGACTCTGTTACCCAATATGAATTGAAACATAGTGTACTCTTGGGGGAAGACAATTATCAAGGAAACCTCCTGGTACATCGTGTTTAACAAGGACGAACGTGAACCATCAGGTTGAAAGGTGTTGTGCCTCCATTTTTAAAGACCTTGGCATATCTGGGGAATTTGTGCGATCATACTGAGCAGTCAAGTTAGTGATGGGACGGAAATAGTCGAAATGGCACCTCAGAAGCGGTTCTTCAATGCCTTGCAATGGCTGACTCTTATCTTAGTTTCATGTACCGGCCAAATACTTACTCTGACTAAGACGCCTAAGGGATATACAATTGAAGGTGACACGGTTATGTTTGAATGCAACTTGCAAAATGTTGCAGGGACACAGATAAGATGGCAGAAGGGAACCGCAGACTTAAACACAGACGGTAGATTCGAGGTTGAAGACCGGCGTCTCATTATTTATGACACCAAGAGGGCTGACACCGGAATGTACTCGTGCCATTATGAGAACGAAACCAGTAAAATTACACTTGATGTCCTACCGTCCTCTTGGATACCTCAATGTTATCGAGCACCAAGCAGTAGAAACATACAGAGAGGGGGCAGCTACAATATCACTTGTACTTCAATCGGGCAGGAAAACACGACCCTTCAGTGGCTTATGCCGGACGGGTCAGGCAACCTCAGTCACAGAACTCTCGAGGACGTCCAACTCGAGCGAGATGGTGAGAAGGTGTCTATCACCTACAGTAGTATTGTACAGGACTCGAAGTCGCCACTGCTGTTCATCTGCACAGCTACCTTTGATCGTCTTGAGAAGAGCTGCTCTGTATCAATCAACGATGACGCGAGGTCCGAAATCATCCCTTTCGTGCTGGTCGGCCTTATGAGTCTGATCGCTCTTCTGTTATTCTTCGTTGTCCTCTATTTTCTCTTCCGGCACCGCCAGTGCCGGTACTGCCGAGAGCCGATGCTCGAGCCCAACCCCATCTTAGACGCCGATGCCCTCCAGAGAGGGTCGTGGATCCCGCCACCAGTGGTGGCGATCGATATGACCAGCGAGGACGGCGAATCGGTGAGGGATTCTCCCCTCACACCTGAAATGGGGCAACCCGTCTCACAGCCACCAGATGTCGTGCCTGCGCAAGAGCCAGCGAGCGATACCTCACCTGACACTGACCAACTCCGCGAGGAACCCGGCTGTGCAACCAGAGACCACTCCTGAGGTTGAAGCTGCGTCTGTTGCGACAGCTCCAGTCGAACTCAAATCCAAGAAGAAAAACCTTACCATAACCAAAAACATGGACCAAAAGTTTGAGAAGCCCGCTCAGACGCTCGAAAAGAAAGCGGTGTCAGTCCCCCTCTCATCGAGTAAGCCACGCCCAACTCAGAAGAGGGAGAAGAAGAAAATCAAGCCCTACAAGGAGCCTCCAGTGAAGGCTAGGATGAAGACGCCCAAGGAACCCATCTACGCCCAGATCAAGAAGCTGAACGTCCCATCCAGCCCAGTTCCAAGCAACACTGCTGACATCCCATCCACATCAACGGGAGGGGAGACTAGCCCACTTCAGCCTCCTACTCCACCGCCCCGCCCACCTTCCACGGACGCAGACGGTGACTCCAAGGAGACAAGCTCCACCACCACGGGAGAAACTGATTCAACTAACAACACAACCCAACTCGAAAATGACCTCGGGCAGGCAGACTCCAAGAAGAAGCGAGTAAGGCACTACAGGAAGAAATCTGAGGATAACAGGAGAACCTCGGATCAAGGAAATGTCGGACTTAACATACAGGCGAGCAAGGAGGACACTTTGGGAGGAGCCAAAGCATTGGAAGAAGCCGAGAAGGATAAGATACCAGCTGATCGTATTATTTATGCAGAATTGGACTTTAGTAAAAATGTCGGACTCAATATCAAAGAATGAGTTTCGTTTGATGAGGTATTTTTCCATGTCACAATAGAGTAATCCAAATCAAACTTTTTATTTAAAATGAAAAAAGCTCTGTTCAAAAAGCCTGGGAAAACTGCATGGTCACTGGTCAGAGGTAGTTGATGGATCCATATTTGTCTGGTTCACACGACAACGGTGTTTAAAAATATTAGGCGGGAAAATCACTCAGTGCCAATGTTTGTTTTATATATTCCCCCTTTTGGAACTATTCCTGCAAGTTACACTTACGTGTTGGTTACATCGGAATGACATTCAGTTGGTTTCTTAAATGTCTTCTCAAACGATTGGGGTTGAACCAAAATACATTGTAAATCACGGATGCTGAATTTTCTACCGGCGAACCTGTCTAAGGTTTTTCAAGACTTCAATGAAAAACAGTGCTTTTGAAGTTTTTCCAATATCTGTAGAGGAACACAGCAAAATGTATTATGCAGTAAAATATGACTTTTATTTGAGTCAGCCATTGATGGGTCACATTAAGCTGTAAGATTTCATAGAGAAACTTACTGTTTATATTTGACGTATTAATTCATTTCCACCTCAAACGTTCCTTTCAATGAAAACGAAAAAAGACATTTCATACTCCTGGTTTTGCAACGATTTTGGTATAAAATCTATATTTGGGGGTTGGGGAGAGGTAAACGTACTTTAGTCAACAACTATTGATTGTTTTGAATTTCTGATTATTGTTACTCAGTGCTATTACGCCTTAATTGATACCAACAATCTTTATTTTCGAGTCACACGTTCCAATAAAACACAGATTGTTTAAAATATGCGTGTTCGCTCAGCCTTGTGCCAAAGTGACGGGGATATAAAAATCCGTCACTTATGTGTATTTGTCATTTTAGGAAACGGAAGAAGAACATGAAGATATGCATTTTTCAGGAAATTCTGTATTTACCCTAGTAAATATTAAAATGGTTTTTAAATTTGATCTAAAAATAAAAACCACGGTAAAGACACTGTGACACATTTTGTCACGAATAATATTTAACTTTTTAGACTGTCCAAAGATAAGATACCACATTAACCAAATAATATCTCTTAAATGGCTCATTACTTTGAAAACTATTTTATACGACTTCTCTTATATATCAACCATGTTACAAGAAAGTATTATTACGATGTATTCTATTTTCGGCTGTGCTTGTTATGAGACGAATTAACCCTTTTGTCCCGTTCATCCATTATTTTATTAGCACATATGTTCAAAACGCAAATTGTTCTCGATCATTCATGAAATCTTTACCATTTTTTTTATCGTACTCAGATATTTTTGGCTGGCTTTCCCAACGACGGGACAGTACTGGTGATCCTTTTCATCATATTTTATGTTGTACTTAATTTTGTCACATTTATTTTTCACAAATATAGTATTCCATCTCTATTATTATCTGTGTTATTCACAAATATAGATAATAAGTTCGCTAGATTGACCAAATGGCCCCATAAATAACAATGATATCTTGTAACTACGATACGCATTCCACCCAGATTAAGGAAATAAGTAGTTCTTGTAATTTTTGTTCGGCAATCTGAAAAAATGAAGTCAACATTAAAATGGATATAGAGACTTTAAGTGGTGTGATCTTTGGGATATTAATTCATACCACTGTTATAATGAGTTTTTATAAGTTTGATTTGTTTCTTTCACCTTCAAGAGTGCTGCCTGTCCTGGTACTGAAAACAATTATTTTCTTCCATAAAACCTACAAAGAATAATTTGATCCATTCTCTAATTCTGTACTTGGTCGCAATCACAACATCCAGAAGGAGTTCGAAATGGATCTAAAAATATATTTTTCAATCTGAAATGGTGCCATGGACTGATATTTGTGAAATCTTGCCATCTCCATTTTAAATCACTAAGATAATTTTTCGACACCTCCATTCGAAAGATAATGCAAGCATTGGTGTTGGTTAGATTAGTCTGGCAGGTGTTTGGTCGTTCCCATAGCAACACCGGTGCAGCCAACCTTCCTGCCCGTGCAGGATGACACTTTTGCCGGAACCAATTTGTTGTCTTTTCTCGTCAAGCAATTCGAAGATGAATTTAATCAAATTGTCTCATTGAGCAACCGGTAGGTTTTTACGTGATGATGTAAATGTAAATTTTACATGGTCACTCCCTCACTCACTCCCTTGCAAAATTATTAGATTAAAAACGCATCTAGAGTATTACTTTAATTTAGCCTTTGCCTTCTACGCTCTCAAGTCAAAGACACATGCGAAGCTTTCGTCGCCAAAATCGGATACTTTCGAAACTCAGGATATTTATTCTTGATTTTTAGCATGTTTTAAAGGGATAGGTATCAATTTTAGAATGTCTAGTCTTCGATCATTTCTTTATACTCTGATCTTATGGTTCTGCCCCCCTTGTTATTACCTTTCTCCTACCTGATGAAATCTAATCAGGTTACGAGACTAGAAGTGAGAGAAGTAAACCTGAAGAAAGGAATTATCATCGGCTGTTACCGGACTTTTAGACTTGATAATCGAGAATCACCGAGAATCCTTTACGGTGAAAACAAGCTTAAACTTAATTTGCATCAGATAACATGTAGAGTCAAGCGCACTGTTTACAGATTTGCAATTTACAATATGCCCCCGAGTACCGGTACCCACATTGTTACATAGCGCGGGGAGTCGGCCATTTTGTTTAAAAGAAATTCATCGATTCAAACTGGTACTTCATTTCGTGACCCAACCTTTGGAATTATCATTCTAATGAGCAGAACAGCCACATAATAAAGTTCGAGGTCGTCGTTACCTTATACGGTAATAGTCGAAGAAACCTTTTTGTGTTTGTGAACGAAAAAAATAATAAATAAAAAAGCCGCCCATGCGTGGTTTTCAGACATCAAAGAATGAGGTCGTGGAAAGTGTGAGGGCCAATCCTTAAAATGGATTTTGAGGCAGGTATTGTTACGCTCTTACGAAAAGCTTCGTCTGGCCGAAATTCTCCAAATACCAAGCCAGCACCCACACGAGAAAATCTGTCTTCCAGACAATAAATGTGCACGTATACGGGCAGATATATAAAAGGTGTACACGAACACACCAACGGTAAGAAGGATACAATACTAACAAAAGAACATGTACATGTACAACGATTCATGGATCTGCTAAATTCAGTTCAACTTTCTGGGTTCTGGAAACGCTTGGGAAATTGGAGTAATCCAAATCTGGGCAGAAACCATTACTTTTATCTCAAGGAGCAAGTACTAAAATTAATTTTATTCATTTATTTTCTGTTCTTCTCCAGTCTCCTCAATCACAAGCAGTTGGGTCAAAAGGTCATGTTTACCTGTTGCACTAGGAACCAAGTTGATCTTGAAGCACATTCGTCTTTCACTTACTGGAGGCACATGCTGTTCAAAGGAATAAAATGAGCAAACAAAACCCACTTGTTATCGAGGATCGCGGCGGGGTTTGACCCCACTTGAATATTCATGAAGGCATTGTTAGCCCGATCTATTCTTTATTTGCATCGAACAGTTGACTGAATGGCATTAAGGATGTCAGGTGTGGCCCAGTGTGAAAGTGGTGGCATATGAAAGAAACACGGCCTCCACGGCTAACTGACGTCATGACATAACCGCCTCCAGTCGATGATGCGTGGTACTGCTTGGTGTGATGCGCAACTGTAGGCCTACCATTGCGATCGCATCTCGGTAAATCAACGGAATAGACAGAGACTTAAACAGCTACCGAGGGGAAAAATCAGAGAGATCGAGCGCAAGAAATTTCCAACTGGTTTTACGGAGATGACACTCGGAAATTGCGATTTAGTTGAAAACGGGACAGTGAATCTATCCGGTTTTGATGAGGACTGAATCGAGATTGGACCGTGGGATTCTGGCGAACTAATGGTACGTGTTTGAATACTGACTGACTTTTTTATCAACCACTGCACACACAGTGACAATGGCCGTGGCTTCGTTGTGTAAAATCACAGTGTTGCTGATCGCTGTTCTGCACAACTTACAAACAGCTTCATCCCAGATGTTCCAAAGGGAACCCAGAGATGCCGAGATACTGATGAACACTCCCGTGACTATGCATTGCAGTATCGTCGAAGCACAGGCCACCGTGTTCTGGACTGTCCCGGGCAATCCTACCCAGATCGTGGTGGGAGACAGGCGGGAACTTCCGTCTGGTACCCCTAGTAGATTCTCGGTGGAAGGAGAGGAAGGAAGCGGAGATTACAACCTCGTGATCAGTCAGGTTCAGATCGAGGATGAGGGCCAGTACATATGTAATATCATCGTAAACGACGGGAGAGGGGACATCCCTCCAGCCACGTTCAGTTCCCGACCTGCGACTCTTACGGTAATCCGAGTGCCACCAACAGGCGACCCCGTCTGTTGGATCCCAGAGGGAAAAATTGCTGAAGTTGGAGACCAATTGTCCCTACGATGCGCCTCTAGCGACCCCAGTGTGGAGCTGAGGTGGTATCTTGGGGACCAACCACTGAGCAGTTCTAACTTCAACACCAATTCACCTGGGCCAGGGATAAACGCTGAGTTTTTAGCCCAGGCTTCAGCAAATCAACAAACTTTCACCTGTCAGCCGGATTCAGGGCAGTATAGAGCCTGTCAGATCACCCTCGAAGTTCAGCACTCGCCGATTGTGACTATCGAAGCCGAAACGGACATGGAAACTGGCGTGGATGCCATGTTCCGGTGCGTGGCGACTGGAAATCCACCCAACTTTGCCTACACTTGGCATTACAACGACTATCAGGTCTCCTTCGAGCAACATCCGAGATTCAACCGGGCCAGACTGGAAAAGAGCGGGTCTGTTCTGGTCCTTCCCGACTTAGAGGACAACGACAACAACGTGACGATCCGCTGCGAGGCGGTGAACGACATTGGAGAAGCAACGGCCAGGCATGCGATCCAAGTCCTGCCCGGTAAGACGCTTGCTCAAATAGTCGGGCCTATCCTACTTGGCATCATCCTCGGGCTTGTTCTGATCGTCCTCGTCGTGTATGCCATCTGGTGGCGCCGACAGAGGAGAAAGGTGAAACAAATCAATAAGAAAAAGAGCGTGAGGAGGTCCCTGTCCTTGTCCAGACGCAACAAGGAGGAGGTGACGACTGTAGACTCGGGCATCGTCTACACCCAAACGGTCGGTGGCTTCGGAAGTCGCTATGGAAAGAAACCCAGCAGCAACGGTGACCTGGTGCGGTCGGGGCTCGATCTGGAATCAGCCGGGTACGGTCCGGATGTCACCAGTATTCCAGCCTACCGGGCAACTGCCGAGGAGGAGAGAGAGGACGACGGGGCACTGAGGCCGATCCCCAGGAAGAACTCGATGTCGTCCCTAGCAAATGGAGTTGTCAAGGGTCCGACGACGAGCGCAGATGACGCTGCCCTGATCAGCCCTGACGGGGAGAAATCCTTTACCTACTACGTCAATCCTCACTTCGACGAGTACCGCAACTCAATGGTGATGAAAGCAGCCGAGAATGATCTAAATGTCGAGGAGGAAGAGAATAACTTGCCCCCTTACAACATCGGAGAGGAGTCTCCAGAGCTGAAACTAAAGAACAGTGACGAGGACGACAACATAGTCAGCACAGAACTTTAAAATGGCTTAACTCCAGTAAAAAAAAAGGAGAAAAAACCTAAAAACCGGACGTCAGGGGAACTAGTTTATTGTTGCCATGTTGTTCATACAACTGGCTGGCAGTAGCTGGCATTTCCAGCCATACTCAAAGAAAGGACACCCGCTGGATGAGTAGATCTGCTGCGATTATTTTCCCCCCATAACAGAACTGCTGGGTTTCCAGAATGGCGAGTGATACACTCAACAGTATTTCGATATCACTTTCTTTGTATAGTGCACGAAGCCTCAAGAGAGTTATCAAAATCCCCACCATTCTCGCTCTTCAAAAGGTCTGTACTCCCATGCAACTGCTAAGTACCATCACTGAAGACAATCTGTGAAAGATATGACATCTAAATTCTTGTACAACATGCTTCAAAAATGTATTATGCAAAGCACACAGTCGACGTTCTTGTCACAGTGAATTTTCTTGATTTTCAAGAGGCAAAAAAAATGATTATCGATGTCTTAAAAATCGGATGGGGCCATGGATACTTTGTGCATGACTCTGCGACCGGCTTTTATGATGACATGTACATGTCTCGAACATGTGTTTGCTTTTCCGAGCATCTATCTTTAGCTTTAAAAAAACACGTACAGGCATTGCAATTTGTCATTTATCTCTCGAAACTTTATAATGGATTGTTTATCGAACTGTACCTAAAGAATTTCATATCGTCGAAAAAAGTCATCATTTAGCGAGAAACAACAATTTTGCAACAAGCTTTTACGTGGCAATCTTGATGTATTCGTTCACACAAAATCAAAATTGATCATTTAATAAGCATGTGTAAATGCTTTAAAAACGTTTCTCAGTTACGTTTTTTTTTTATCAAGGATGGAGTTTTGTACTGATGGGTTGATTTTTATAGCACTGCACGCAGCGTATTTTGTCAGTTTGTGTGTGTTATATTTTTAAACATGATTGTGAATACAATGTGTAGCAAACATAATTATTTTACGATAGTAAAGGCCATTGTGATCAGCCTGGCTGGATATACAATTTGCCTGTTTTTGCGATGAAATTATTTTTAAGTTAAAAAGATTTCAATATCTTATCATACTGCAGAAGGAATTGTAAATGAAGACTTGAGCAATCCTGTACACGTATTCGTAAATGGACCTCCTAGTCTAGAAAACTTTATAGCTGAAAAGGTCAACCGAGCCTTAAGATGATCATTCTCTTTCTGTATAACCAATCAGTCCGATGCCCCCGTGTTAGAAGTACAAAGATTTTAAAATAATGCCACCCCAATCTGCTGGAGTACAGACGTAGTTCATTAGTTTCAAAAAATTGGGCTATTTTTAGGGTATGAATAGATTTGCTGATTTATAATGAAATAAAGTAGAATTGTTTTGCTTGGCTTTTGTAACTTATAAAGTATATGTATTTAAACATAAATGGTTTTAACTGGTGACTATGAAATAGATGCAAAATAGAACTCGCAGTTTTTTTGTCAAACAAAATACCTTGATGGTTGAGATTATTGCGACTGCAATAATTTCGGTTTTGTTTTCATGTATACATATCCATTCGGAATCGCAATTATTTGGGTCGATAATTTTATGTAATCTTTTGGTAAAGTTAATTAATTGAATTGATTTTAATCACATAAAAGAATTATGAGAAGGGGGTTATCCTTGTCCTTTAGATTTATATATTTCAGCCCAAAAATGACGCAATGTAAACCTTTCATTCGTTTGCCAACGAATTCGTTTTCCAAGGCCAAATTTAAAAGACTTACATGTAGGTTAATGTTCAGGTCATCTCACTTTTTCGAGATACCGTTCTTCAGGATTTAAAAGTATCGCCAAATTATTGTTATATAGCAAAATAGTGATCTGTTTATTGCAGAATTTTGCAGAATTTCAGTGACGCAAATATAGAGAGCACTTTTATTAAAACACAAAAATAAACAGTCGCATAAATAATTATTTATTTCTGAATCCTGACCCTTGACCTTTCACAATCAATGAGGGATGTAAAAGCGTACAGCATTTTCCAAACAAAGTAAGTTGGATAGGGTGGGCCGGTGGAAAACTGTTATGTTTCGTCATGTGACTCGTGTTCTGGTATAATCTTCCTGTTATTTCATCTACTGAAACCGGGAATTTTGGAATTTTTTTCTTCATTTTACTTGGTACATATACTCAAAACATGAGTAATAAGGATCAGTTTGAATACAAACGAATATGAAAAAAATGCCATGTAGCCCCAAGGGCGGATCGGGAGGGGGGCGGGGACAATGCCCCTCCCCCGAAAAAAATGAGGATGGGGGGGTAATCAATCATAGTGAAAACATTTTTCATTTAAGTATCTTAAAGGGACTCGAAGGGAGGTTGTTTTGTATTGACAGAGCCATTTTGTTTAGGAAATTTCTGAGCAGCTGCTTAATTGTGACTGGTGCAATCAGTTAATGCAAATGTTTACTGGGGACGCTGCTTACTTGTTTTGCCCCCCAATCATGCCATGGGTCAGTCTTGCAGTCCTTGTCACAGCAAATAAACTTGACGGATGTCCTAGTCCACTAATTAACAAAGAAAAGAAAAGACATATAGTCTTCCCCAAGTTATTTCAGTTGAGAGGTCGTTACTTATCTAATTCAGGGATTTAAGATTCCAGGTCTGCTCTTTCAATAGATTTGCTGCCACAGGTCACTTGTCAATCATAAAACAATTCCGGTGATGACGACAACAGCTGAAATATCGAATCAGGTCATGTACATGTATTATGTCTGTCCACCTTCCGGGACATTCTCACAAATCAAACAGCAGAGGGCGCTCCATTATTGCCAGGCGCGGCGTTACTTCCGGGGATCAAGTTGAAAGTGGCATAGGCCGAGCCTCTTGTTTGTCACGCCTTATTAACTGAAAAATCAACCACAGCCATGGGTATCAAGTACTACTTCTCGAGTGTCACTGGCAGCCTTGACGTAAGTAGCTTACGCTCGAGGAATAATTATCCTTTTGGAGCTCTAAAAGAACTGGTGACAGAATCCTAGCTTGTCATGACCTCCATCATGACATCAACATGATCAAGGCTTGCATTGTGAAGTCTGCACGTCTGCAAGCCATTTTCTTCCTCGTCCGCCCATCCAGGCCCAGCCCAATATGTATGTCTGGAAACTACCATTCCCGTGTGCCTTCTAGCACTTTTGGGGCGGACGTAGCGCTGTGGGATTTTGAAGCCAATCTGAATATTAAGAATTCACTGCTGGATTTGTACATCTGATGGTATAATTCCAGATCTGTAAGGTTTATAGTACAGGCCTTTCAGATAGCAATGTACAAACTCGCATAGACATCAACGTCCTCTATTGCAGATATCTGCTCAGTAAACTTCCATACATGCCTTCTTGGTGAAGTTAGATATCTGATGGGGAGGTATATTCACCTTATGTCTCATTAAAATGGTGAAATTCATGAAAAAATCAGCAGTAAAATCAGAACAGTAAGGCACTACTCCCACAAAGAAGTGATTACTGTTCAGGAAGTAAGCAGCATGCATAATCTTTATTGCTGTCTGCAGCATTACAGCTTCACCAATCACATCACGGCTCCTATCCTTTCCTTGTAGTTTATCTGTCTCCCACACATGAAAGCTGAGCTACAATTTGTCATTAGAATTGAAGCAATTTTGGCCAATCCTAGCATGGCGGGAAACCAAGATGTCGTTCACCTCCAAAAATGATCAAGCCAAAAAGGGTTGGTCGCTGACCCAAAAGTCTTGCTATTTTTACAGACAAGTAAACTGTGTAGTTATCATTTCATCAAAACCATCAGGTTGATTAGTAAATAAATCATCCATATGTAAATTTTCAAGAGATATGGACCAACTGAAGCTGTTTTTTTTTTAAGTAAAGATTTGTAAAGATTCACTTGTTGCATGCAAATGTAATGGATAAATCAAAGCTTCATCTCTGTCATCATTTTAATACTCCAGCAAACGACGATGCTCAGACAAGTCAACTATTGATCCTCTCCACTAAAGACAATTCAATCTTGGAGACAACTGATCCATGGTCATGTCTTGATCGCGTGTTTGGTAAAATGGAACAAGTTACTGGACATGTTGCCGAGTTATTGCAGAATACCCTGCCACTCTAAAAAAACGACCTCTGGAATGACTGGTCACGTGGGTACAAGGTGAAAATCCCTTGAGAAGAGTGTGACACTTTGACCTGTACCTGGCTATGAGGTTGATTGTGCAGGGTGGTGGGGTATTCTGCAATTGAGCTCATGTTGCTTGGTATTTTGTTCATTGAGACATGTCATCACTTGGTAATCTGCCATGTTGTGTCCATGTACTGACACTTGTGTAAAAATGCTGTCAGGAAGCTAGCTGTGTACAAATGTCAGCAGGTTCATGTATACAGAAAATCATGTGAATTACATTGTACATGTATGTGATTTTACAGGCTCCTCGCAAATTTCAAGAACGCGAAATAATATTTTTAAGCTTTATTCAGTTAGTGTTGCCACAAAGCAAGGTCATGTGAATCAAGGGTGATTTATGCAGCCTAAAGGATATGCCTGGTTGGTTTTATTGACAAGTTCTCTGTCAAAGTCCAATTCTGTTGTTTCAACTGCTAAGTTGGTCATTGGTCAAGTTGTCTAACGTGACTAGGATGATGTTTCATTGATCATGAGATCACCCATGACCTTTTACTAACTACCGAGCTGTACCTACGGCTTTTTCATGTAACAAAAACACTAGCGCAAGTTCAATGATGCATACGTGCTGCATGTCACTTGACTCAAAACTCAAGAAAAAATTAGCAGAGGTAAATCAAAATCTCTATTTATGCAGATGAAAAAGAACCAGCAGCGCATTGAAATGATTCTGGATTCGAAGAAGATTGCCTATGAGAAGATTGACATTGCTTCCAACGAGGAGGGAAAGAATAAGATGAGAGAGCTGATAGGAGACGAGCATGCCCTGCCTCCACAGCTGTTCAACGATGACACGTACCTTGGAGTAAGTTTTGTTTTTTTAAAAAGGGAGCTGTGTGCACAGAGATGGCAGTAGAACTTAATACTGATCCAAATAACCGTCATAGAGCTCATTGTGTTACTCAAACTTTTCAAGGATGAATTTGAGATGTAAATTAATTTTGGAGTTTAGCCCTGCCCGACATGTAGCTCAGTGGTCGAGTGGTTAAGGACGTCTGCACCAGTAAGCAGGAGGCATGGGTTCGAGTCCCAACCAAGTACGCTGTTGGTTTTTTCACAAGCCTTCGGTGGCATACGTGGAGTATACAGTGTTAAAATACACGTCGGGCAGGGCAAAACTCCAAAATTAATTTACTCAAACTTGTTTGCAGTTGGCACACCATCTACCATTCTGCACTGGATCCACTGGCCAAATTCACAAGTCGGCCATCTTGAATTGAAAGCGAGGCTGTCCCTTTAAGAATTTTCTAAAAACTTAATGTGCATGATAACAGTATTGGCAGATTACGGAGTACCATCCATGTACTCTGATGGATAGTTCTAAAATATGGAGAAAAGGTCATGTGACTAATCAAATATCAATATTTTTTCACTAAGGGATGCTATCACTCACAGTTTTAGCAAAATAGTCAGATTGCATCTCATGTCAGAGTGATCAGTGAATAAAAGGGATTTCGGATTCAAAATGGCCATCTCTTGAATGAATAGAACCCTCATAAGACAGAAAACCTGACTTACCTGAAGCTTTAGATGTGATCTTTATGTTAGCCAAATTCCTCTTCCACCTGTGGCTGTCCTTGTCCTCCGAGGTCCAATGGAAGCCTTTTTCCATGAACTCACTGATGTGGGGAATAGTTATCTACAGTTGAGGAAGGTCATCTGAAGGGATAACTCACATGACACAACCTTGAAAAAGCAAAACAATTGAAAATAGAAATGGAATTTTTTTTCAACTCTAAACTGATCTAACATCTACAGAGATCGTAGTGTGAGAGTTGACAGAATATAGAGGACAAATGCCACACCTGACCATATGAGCTTTATCCTCCCTTCCCCCAATTGTCCCCAGAAACCTCTGCGCATACCTCACCTCAGCACCCCCGGAAAAATCCCACGTGGCATTCCTGCTGATTTGGTTAACCTTTTGCCGATTTTGCTCACGTAGGACTTTGCTGCATTTGACAACGCGGTCGAGGGAGAGAGCCTGGAGGCATTCCTGAAAATTTAAACATCCCGCAACAGACAGCCTAGATATCAAAGCTTTTTGCTCAGGTACCACGTGGTAGTATCACCAGTGCATAGCCTTATTAGGTGGATCACGACATGGTAAACCATTAGAAAAACAAAGAAGTTGATCAGAATCTTTGGAAAACTGTTTGTTACAGAATCCAAACCTGAAGAGTCAAATAAAAATAAGCAAGGTTTGGCATTTTAAAGTTTAAAAACATGTAATGAGCTTATCTTTTCATTTGTAGAAGCACGTAGTTACTGTACTTGTGTCAAGGGATTATTACTTTAAAGCCTGTTTCATAGTGCTGGTTCACCTCACGGTGAGGACATATGGGTCATTGTATAAACATGGGGACCAAAAAGTGACGTTTTTGGTGTCCCAGTTACACCTGACGTGTGCAGTTTGGCACGGAAGTATCTTTGAAATTGACTTCTAACTATATTTAGTTAAACAAGTTAGTTTGTTTGGCCGGAAATTTGCATTACTTAATCACCGATACAGATGAGAGAATTGTTCTAAACTTCGAAAATCGTATGTCAGACGTAACAGGAACATGAAGATAATGAGACCCAAATTTATGGAATTACCCATATGCACTCCATATGATGCTGAACGTGAACTTCACTTCTGGAACCTTTGCACCATTAGCCAATTTCATAAGATCTGCTTGGTTCTAAAAATATGTGCTCAGCAAACACGGTTTCCCAGCCCATCTGATGCGCAATCTGCCAGGTGTAAAGCTGATGTTTGCCATACACAAAGAAACTCACAAGCAGTTTCTTGTGTTCAGCAAGTTCTGGCGACTCATTGAAATTGGAGCATGAATACTACACTCTAGGTTTGTGATAAGGCCATGTGGTATATGTAAGTTATATATGGCTATGCTGTTATATTGGGGCCCAGTTTCGTGCAAGACTATTTTCTTTGCATAACCAATTTTGACAGTACAAGAAAGTCATGTAGTCAAAATGACAGAGCCATGGCCTAAATAACTGGTTGCGGCTAAAGGTGACATGTGTACCCATGGGAAAGGGCTGTAGCCACTTGCCAAATGTTTCCTTGACACTAGTGTCATGTCAAAGCACAGTCTTGACCTTGGAGCATGGTCTTAGTCAGTTTACTCACTCAAACGAACAGGATGTTATGCAAACTTCATTGAGTTGAAAAACATTCCACCCTCAGTGACTTTCAACGTTTTTAGAATAGGTGTAAACTTCATAGGACCAGCAAACACTGGTTCTCAGAAAAAATAATGTGTGACTGTCAATGAAATTATTTGCAAATCCAGCCTTGGGAACCAAGAAAAATTGGCAAAATGTTCTCCATTTTTGGGGACAGAAAATTAGCGAACAATGGAAAGGGTGCGCCACCTTGGTTCAATTAGCCAATTCTCTTCATTGAGTGTCATATTAATGAATTGGTGTTGTCTTACAGCTTACCCTCTAAATAATGACTACCAGGATCTAGTTATACTTGCTACTTGTTGTTGCATGCACATTTTCTTTGCATGTGAATATGAAGTAGTGAATCCTACCTGTCTGTCAAAAAAAAACACACTTGGAAATAAGCCGTTTGTCAAACTTAACGTATTAAAGAACAATTTATTTTCAAAATGTGGAATGTCATGTATTGCTAGCTATTTACAGTTTGTGAGGTATTATGACGCTTTTTACGCGGTTAATATTTGGTTAGTAATTCCTTTGGCACTCAGTTAATAGGTTGCAGTTTTTCAAAGTAGAAAAACAGACTATGGTACATGTATGAACTATCTATATTTCATAATTAGTTCAGTTAGTAAACTGGACCAACTCGGGAACACCAAAGTCGAAAAAAAATTATGAAAACCGAATTAAATTTGAATATATTGTGGATGTATGAATGAGTTTTTGTTTAAGTTTGTGCATTCCTATATTCCAATTACATTTCAACCACATTACCATAATTTTCGTCAGGAAAATGTTTGTCATAGATTCGCCTTAAAAAGGAACTCACTAGATAATTAGGTCATTGGCTTTAATAAAAGATGTTTGTTTTTTTGTCGTCTTTTTACATTCTCTTGAAGAAATAAAAATTTTGGGTGAAAAATTTGTCTGACTCCGTCAGGTTAACTGTGCTTTAGTGATTAGCCGTTTACACTGAGCAAACATTTCATAATAACGGCAATTTTGCAACGAACTGAACTAAATCCACCTCAATCCCATCGCTATCCAATGACATGGACATACTCTGTCCTCTGTAATAAAATTGGGATATCAAACCCGTATTGCCGGAGATTTACCTTTCTAAATCATTTGGAATCAAGCAAAACCATGCCAATGTTGGATGGATTTGGGTTAGATTTGGAGAATCTAGCTTAATCTAACCGTTGAAAAACTCAGTGTAGTTTTTGTTTGGTGTATTTAACGATAGCACTAGTTGTATTTGTTTCCACATTTTTGTATCCACGTCTGTTATGGAAATAAAGAATATTATTGGCAATAAGTCTGTTGAATATGATAGAGTGTGTCGGGTAATTTTGTACTCCTAGTCTACAGACAGTTTCCTCGCGTGTCATGTTTGCATTGGAGGTGTTTTTCTTGTGCGCACTTGGCTTACTGTGGTAATTGCCTTTAGGTCATACGTTTTTTGGCCCCGGGAAATGTACGTTTTATAACCTGGTCAACAGCATCGTCTGAAATAATGTCGATAAATCAGGAAAGAAATCAAAGATTGTGCCTCGGTTACCATGGCTACCGATCAAGTACGCGCACGCGCTTTTAACGGCATACGCAACATGAGCACTGATCTTTCGAAGCCATGATTTGCGGTTTCCAGGTAACTTCACGATAATTTTTAATGGCTAAAAAGCAACACGCTCACAAATCAAAGTGCGTGACTACTGATAGGGAGCAGAAGAGTGTAATACAGAGACAAAAATGTTTCCGTTGGGGCGGGCCCATATTTCATTAAAGGGATGGGCAGAAGGCACGTTGAACATTTATAGCTTTTTTTTTTGTTCAATGTATTTCCCCTGTAAAAGAAAAAGACCCACTTCGGTTGTTGTTGTTAATCATTGCTCAAATAGCTGCTACACTGTGACAACACGCGGGCATGCAATCTCTTGAAGAGATGAAAGAACATCTTTTCAATCAACGAGGCTTCACAGACAGCGGAAATTGACATTTGTTGCAAGACTGTTTTTCCGACAGATGTTCTATGCCGCGTATTTTGTTTTTGAGCGTCAACACTATTAGCCTTCCCCTGCTTGATTATGGCTGTCCAACTTTGATGACGTTTTTCAAAGTTTTGACCATCAAAGTGTAGGATTATAGACAGATCGCTATAGATCTCATAATTCAGCAATGTGATTTGTCAAACTTGTGAACAAAGTTCGAGTTTTACCGCGATTTAAACAAGATTGCCCAAAACATTAAATTTTATGACCAGACACGTCGTTAATCTGCCAGCAATATGTGCACCTCGGAGCAATGAGAGTGACTTAATGATCTAACCAAGTCAAGACTTCTCACCGCTTATTGGTGGCTATCATTAGCGAGGCTCATTAACACCAAAGTGGTTGTCAGCATCACTCAAATCGGAAATAATGCCCCAAGATCCTTCCGGAACTTCTTGGCGCCTAGCAACCGTTGATAACCGCAATAATGGAGCATGCTTTCAAAAGCAAGCCACATATACTTCTACCAAACTGACAAGGGAAAACTTTCACCGATGCAGTCGGTCTTGAGCACGCGTCGGACATCAATCTATCGGGGGACTGTCGAAAGAAGAGTGAATGTGTTGTTAAAAATCGTGATTTCAGTGGCGACAATATGACGGGTTTTTCGGATTGATATGCCGGGGCTTGGGTAGTCGTTTTTTATTTACGTATAATTCTAGGGGATTCCTCGGGCGTGCATTCATCGAATGACACGCAAAAGGAATAAATTTAAATGTTGTATCTCGTTGACACGAGTCTCGTACATGAATCAACACCATCTGTGGAACGACAGAGAGAGAGGGAAGAGACTGGCTCCGACAAACCACCGAAGTGAGTTGATATGGATGAATTACCTGCGCTATACGCATAGGGATCTGCAGCTGATAGCCAAAGCTTATGCAATCGGACTTTTTAAAGAAGCTACATCACATTTCAGTATAAAGATGCTGTGTACTCATTTCTCAACTGTCCTGTTGATTTTTGAATGGTTTAGAGGCAACGACAGCCAAATAGCCAACTATAAATCTTGATGGACAGTTGCTAATAAGTTCTCGTTGCCCGCTGATAATTATGCACGGTGGAGTCAAGTATTTACATCGAAGTAATTCACCGATCACCCGACATTACAATCAGAGTGGAAGGCCCATTACTGCCCCTAAGAAAAATGTTACAGGTTAGCTATTAATTACGTGAGCGATCTGGAGTTCCTGAGTTGGTAGATAAAGCCAAGTCAAGCAGCACAATCTTATTTTCTCCAGTAAGCAACGGAATCATCTGTGCTTAGACGTTGCCAAGTGAGGCGAAGGAAATCCAATATTCCCTGACTGGACTGCGTCTTGGTTAAACGAAGGGTGACCTCTCCCTTTCAAACTATACTGTTTTGGTGTTTACAGAAGCTGGTGAGAACGCCTACAGACTCGATCTGCCAACGAGTAAGTAGACTCGTTCTCTTTCCACGGAATCATCTGTAACCATTGCGATACATAATTACAACCACGCCAAGAGCAACAACACAAAGTGCGAGGAAAATGCGATTTGTGTCTGAGTACCTATAAAGCCCTGGTGCAAGGTGTCGGACAGCGTTGTTGTAGACTGCATTGTGTGTTATTTTTCCCAGTAGATTCAGACTGATGGTGCCGACACCTGTTCAAATGAAATATGGATCAAATGATTAACTGCAGTCATCCTTCCTTCTTCATTCGTGAGATCGGACCTGTTGGTGCCGAAAGCATGCACTTGACCCTTGCTGTTATCGGCTTGGTCAGTAACAGCCTCGTATTCGTCGTCTTTTTCCGACTGCCAAGACTCCGGATGAAGACCGCCAATATCTTCTTGTTCAACCTGGCAATCGCTGACTTTTGCAGCTCAGTGTTTATGGCAAGTCGCCCGTTTGTCTTTGACCTCAACCCGGATAGCTTGCTGTGGAGAGAGTTCGTGTGTCGCTTCTTCAAATCAGACTTTCCCCTCTGGACTTGCGTGACCGCTTCCATCTACAACCTGCTGCTCGTCACAGTGGACAGGTACCTCTGTGTCGTCAAGCCGTTCCTATATCGTCGCTACTTCACCGTGCCAAGAATTAGACTCAAGGTGACTCTGTGTTGGATTTTCTCCGCCATCCTAGAAACGTACTGCTTCTACAGCACCAGAGTTAATGCTTGTGGCTACTGCGAGATCTACTGGCCCTCAACCGCCCTCCAAATCACCTGTACCACCGCAACATTCTTGTTAACTTACCTCCTCCCCACAATGGCAATGCTTTTTGCATACGGAACCATGGTCAAGACCTTGAGGAAGAGGGAGGAGGCTCTTCAGAACCATCGTCAACTTGTAGCTGCCGGTAACCTGCTCAGAAGCCGGCACAATATCGTCAGGATGCTACAGTTACTTGTGTTGATGTTCGGCCTTCTTTGGGCCCCGAATCAAATTCTATTTTTCTATCTCTCTTTCCCCGGGACCAGCGCCAACATCGACCAGCTCGGTTTTTCAATCACCCTGGCGGTTGGTTTCATCAACTGTGTGGCCAATCCGATCGTCTATGCTTTCAAGAACCCTCAGTTCAAGAAAGCTCTCCTCACGGTCCTCTGCTGCCGCCGCGGATCCGGCATCGGCCCGAGCGATATCAACGCAAGCGACCCGCTGGACGGCGTTTCACGTTCTCTGAAGTCGAGAACTCCCGGTGCAGCTCAAAATCAATCCCCGTACCCCAAGGAAGGTGGACGTATCCCAGGCCAAGTGGACACTACACTCTACTCTAGAAATACTAACAGAACTTCAGATGTTCTGCAGGAGTAAAACGTGAAAACGGCGTGAACCGAGAAGACGGGGGCACGACTTACGCAATTCAAACATCCCACTTCAGACCTTTAATAAATGCTCCATTATCGATAAGCTATACATCCATTTTAAATTAAGGGTGGTGCATATCTCCGTATATCTGATATTTCGCTGACCAATTTGCATTAGACGTATTCTTCTATTGCAGTTTCTCCAAAGTACGTCTTTTGTACGACTACTTCACTGCGCAAGATGACTTATTAATTGAATAGTAATCATTAAAAGATAAAAAAGATTGAGGTGCCACATCGTCAACCGGAATTTTGTGGATATAGAAAGACATGGATTTTCTATTAACACAAAAGTAAATCCGCCACAATTTTCAACCTGTTTATTGAAGACACAATTAGGATTGAATTCTACATATTATCAAATGAAAAATAAATGTAATGTACGCGTCAAATTAATTTTTCATGCTTTGGTATATTTTATAATTAAATTCATCATTTTGTTTATTTCAAGAATAGAGGTATAAATTAATTGCATGCGATTTACATGACGGAAAGCAAAATAAAATGCGAACTATACCAGTGGCATGAAATATGTCTTCCGCACTCCTAAACTGAGACAGCTTGAAGCAAATAAAAGGATATTGGTTGTAATGAAAACTTTATATAAACTAGTTACAAGGTAAGACACAGGTTGAATAAAATGTAGCTGGATAGCTTATATAACAATTAAAAGAATTCTACGATTTGCAGTAGCTGAGAAGAATTTGGCAGAGATAAATTTAGGGTTCAAATGGACGAGAAAAGTTAGCACAATTCATTTTCAAAGCAGAGTCATAGTCAAACAGCAGAACCTTATACACAGTAATTGAGTGGCCTGTAAATTATTAGTCTCTCTTCAAAAGGTTGTTGTTTGAACTGTAAAAAATAGACTGTTGATTATAATGTTGCGTCTATCTGCTTGGAAGTACTTGTGAGCTGTACATGTACATGTTCGCTGTCGGTTTCTGTATTGACAGATAACGCTGTCAATGAATAACACGCAATGCCATCCTTTTTGATTAATTTACAATAGAATTCATGGATGATAAGAAATAATGATTCACCCAGACAATCACTGCAATTAAGTTGAGCGTCAGTAAAATTTGAAACTTATTACATGAAGAATGGGAGGTTGGAATAATTGTCCATAATGATATTTCTTGTTAAATGTTAGCCTTGGAGAATTTTGACGGGAGTTACAATGGAGTGGGTCTATATACAAGGGAAAAGCAGACATTGAACATTTCAATGAGTTACTTGCACGAGGTGGTTATAATCAAATTCCCCAGACAAACTAACTCCAGGAAAAAAAGACTCCTAGTCAAACAGGCGTCGACGCTCGTTCCCTTTAGTAATGAATTTTGTGGATCATAATCTGTACATATTTAGTGTGGTGGATGGTGATGCTGTGGTACTTGATACCTGATGTTCTTAATATGCTTTTCTTTTACTGTATTTTTTAGCACGAGAGCCATTTCAATTTCTATTGTGTATCTATTATACGCAAAAAGCAATATATTAAAAAAAAATTTTCCCCGATTTTTGGTTAAGGCACGAACGTTTAGCTGCTTTGTTATCTAGAATATTCTGTCCACGATCTGTCAATATAATTACATCGGCGGAGCCTGCTGTGGGGTCGTTTGTCACTTTTGAGACGCTGTTAAAAACGAAAACAGACAAATCGTTTTGTCCAGAGAATGAACAATGAATCTCCCAAAGCTCCATGATTTAATTCAATAAAGTTTCAAAACTTTTCAATGTAATTTCCATGAACAAAGAGCCCGATTTCTGTCCCGAGGGTAATTAATTGCTCAGAGTGACAGGGGCGTCCGCAGGTGATGAGCCAGTTTGATATTCCAACAGCGCATGCCCAGCATGAGGTTAATCGGGATCAGCTACGCATGTGCGTGAGTGTCCCAGTCCTATTCTATCATAGCGCATCCATACGAAGACTCAAGCGCGTGCATTGTTCCCGAAAGACCTTGGCTTTTTGGAATACCAATTTGGTTCATTCTATGTTTTTCTTTCCACTTTCAAGGAAGGTCGGATGGTCGGGGGTAAAAGAAAATTTATCTCCCCCCCCCCGGAGATTACCATTTCTTTCCTTGTTAGACCATTCCAGAATGGGTAGGTGGAAAAACGTTTTCCTCTGTCGGACTTCAGACAAGGTCGGCAGCATAAAAGGGGCCTTTTTCCCTCGGTCGGAGCCAAAAGTAAGGGTCGGTCAAAAACGAGATTCATAGAATTAATTACGGATTCCCTAACGTGGAAAAAGTTTCGATGTCCCAAAATCTGGAATTCCTGATTGGAAATTCAACACTTCAAATTTCTGAATTATTCTAGAACACTCTTCTCCTATTATTTGATACGCACAACTGATAGCAAATTAAATATAAAAGTAACAGGCCTATATCTGAACGGTAACACTATAGAACCAAAGAAACAGCTAAAAATAAATCACGAAATAAACATCATGATTATATTACCCTTCCTTCCACGTTAATATCACACAACATGTAAGTGAACTAATATTGGTTATTTCACCCCCCAGGCCTAACCCCCTCGCCAACCCTTGAACAACTTTCACAATATACTATGACTAATCTAATATACCACAGCCCATATCTCTAATTTTGAAATTTAATACGCGGTAAGCTAATAGCGTGATTGTCATCTTCTGGAATGCTTTGTCTATTGGGGGCGCCATTCGCAAAAAATCTTTAAAAAAACATGGACTCGGTCCCAATTACAACTTATACCAGTTCCAGTCTTCCATAACTTTCACAACGCACTGAGACCGCAGTAAGCCTTCGATAGTGCTCCTTAATTCACAAAAAGGTAGAGTTTCATGGTTGAAAAGAATGAATATCCACTTACCTTACTTACGTTATTTGGTCAGTAAAACGCTGTGACTGTAGCACCATGGCTGCAGTGCACGCTTTCCTTTACGTTCAACGCAAAAGTGACCTGCCGAGCCAATTCGCGCCATTCGAGGCACTTATTCTCAATTCCTATGCAAATCCCAGTCGTCGTCTACTCAGTGTAGACCTAAAGTTAGGCACACAGAGCAGTAATCCAAACAAAACATCCTAGATGATGAAAACTACGAACAAAATCCACAATTTCTCGTCGAACCTCAAAATAATTTGACCACTCTCGCGCAGCAACTGTTACCAAAGACGAAGCTTGACCATAAACCCGGTTGATTTAGTAAATTCTCCGTTTGAACAAATTTTGAAATATTTCCAAAAACTGCATTAGAAACATTTACAATTAATTTTTAAAAAGAAATTTATGTGCTACATAATGTTTTATTTTGTGAAAATTAGTCATTTAAACATTCTTTTTCAAGTACACTTCAGACTGTGGTGAGATTAGTTAACTCATCGACTAATCGTCTGCTTCAACACATTTCCACCTGCCTTTGTTTGTGATCACATGATACAAATTTTTGGCCAATCACTGACTCGGTTGGTAAATCTGGGTTTCCTGGTTGTCGTACGTGCACGCCCATCCCTTAAGATCAGTGACCGGGTCCGCACGTATACTTCACGTGAAAGTTCGCCTTTGGAAGGCACTTAAAATTTTTCACAAGCTGGGAAAAGGAAATCTAGGCCTACTTCAATGATATCGTTAAATAATCAAGTATACATGATTTTAACCTTATCAGTGAGATGCTTAAGCTTTGTTACTGTAATACCACGTTGGTGATTTTTACTTCACTGATAACGTTAAATTTATTTTTATAAAATAAATAAATTCAACCTTATCGGTGGAGTACATACGCATTATCACTATTTAGTACCGCATGCATGAGTGATATTGCACAGTGGTAGAAAGACACTGTACCTTTTCATACCACGTAAAGCATTTCCCCACCTCTGAGGTCTCCGTTTCTACAGTTTCTACACCTCAAGACACATCATGAAAATAGGTTGTTATTATTATTAATATTTTTCTAAGCTTGGATATCACGGCGGTTGTTTTAGCCAATGTTTTCCTCCAAAGGGGTGTGGCCACTTGTGCAAACTTGTCAATCATAGAATGTCATAATGCTCTACTCCCAGACTTCGAGTTAAATGTTCTGTACAGCTCTTTCCAACTTACGCCCGGTACCAGACTACTCGTGACATCACTTGCGGGTACGTGTTGTTCGAGGTGAGTCATTGTCATTGGGTTTTTCCTCGTAAAATTTCACATTTCGATACTTTTTTCCGGAGACGACTTGACTTTGGGTACTCAAGGGGTAATGTTCATCAAACAGACGATTTGGGATATTCATAGGCCTACTGATTGCAGAAATAAGAGATCATCTGTCAGCTTAAAGTGTGCACTGAATGCAGATTACAGTGTATTTAACCAAAGGGGAGGGTATTTCCGACAGTGTTTTTTTTTTTTAAATACGATTGGTCAGGTTTAATGGTAACAACTTAGCAAGGGTAGCACTAGCAGGCCCAGACATGTAGGGTCAACATTGTATTTGCCGAGATGGATTACCGTGTCTGAAATTTAATCATATAGTTGGCAAAGCATCCGTAACAGATAACTTAAGGAAACATTCTCACAGTCGGGATGACATCACATTCATGTTAGTTCACAGCTCTTCATTATGTCATTTTACACTGCCCCTTTACCCCATAATTTCCCTCAAAAACCAAAGCCCTTCCCTCTTTTCTTTCTGATACGAAAGAGGACATCACTGCCAACTTACTTAGGTAAGTTATTTCAAAAATTTAGACTTTGTTTCCTTATTACAGAAACAGGGTAATGAATGGTAATGAATACCGGAAAAAGGGGCAATTTTTGCTCCTTTTTCCTTCCCACAATGCCTTTGTACAATTGTGAAAAATCACTCATGCAGTATTAGCGATCAAATCTATGATGAAAAATATTTGGAGAAAGAATTCCATATACAGACAGCGCTTGGCACTTTGTAAACAAACCTAATGCGACTGGTCTGAAAAATTCCAAGTGTTTTCTACATGAATACCTCAATATTTTCCCTGCTAAAGTTGACTCTTTTTAGGTCATTTTATTACTTTCATATGGGTAACAGGAAAAAAATTTTTGGGAAAAATAAGTGGTGCCCCTGTGTGGAATTTTTTCCAACTAGGATCTAGATAAAGTAGTGTGAGAGATTCTTAGTTGTGTGGCCCTACTTGCTACCAACTTTTTAAGTGTTGCATGATTTCCACAGCAAGCACCAGTTTCACCTGATAAACAACCATGGAGGTCTCTGATTCTAAGCCGAGCGTCTTCTCCCAGATTGACCTCAGCAACAAGCTGATCATCAAAGCCCAAATTGGCGATGACATCCGACGCATACCAATCCACAATGAAGACATAACTTACGATGAATTGGTTCTGATGATGCAACGAGTGTTCCGCGGCAAACTCAAAAACACAGATGAGGTCACTATCAAATACAAAGACGAAGGTAAGGATGAAGCAGCGTTTCCTTTTTGGTCTGAAAAAGTGCTGTTCTGCTCTTTTGATTGAGAACAAAAACCAGTATTTGCTCATAAGAAATTTTTGATTGGACTGAACAAAAACTGCGTTATTTGCTCCCTTAATACATTTTTGTCATCTTTACTAATAATTCGTCGTCCATTTTTTCTGTGTTTATAGACGGAGATTTGATCACAATTTTTGACAGCACAGATCTTTCCTTTGCCATTCAGTGCAGTCGCATTTTAAAACTTACAATATTTGGTAAGTAGGCATTTAAAGTGTTTTTAATTGATAGTGTTGAAACCGTTTTTAGCAAAAACCTTCCTCTAAGAAATATAGCAAGACTTTGTTGTGTTTTGAGTGAATTCTTTCAGCCACAGCATTACGAACAAAAATCTGAATGTTGGTTCAGTGCTTTATCTGTTATTGTTATCTGTTATTTATGTTATTTCAATCACATTTTACACCTTTGTCCGTACAAATTTGTGTGACCTTTTATATGACCAAATATTGATGACCGCTGAACTTTGAACCTGTTTTTCCCAGTCAATGGCCTACCACAACCCCTGCAGAGTGACCAGGTCAAACACATACGCATGCAGCTGGCGGACATTCGCAATAAGGTCCTGTATTTGATGGACACACTGGAACCTCCCGCAGCCGAGCCCCAGGAAGTTGAAGGTAACCAGCAAAGTGCCCCCCAAAAACGAGAAGTGCGCGTAGCAGCCGAGGGCAAACCACCAAGAGGTATTGACGCTGGAAATCGTCAAGCATGTGTGTCCACTAACACAAAAAGAGAGCTAACCACTGGCTTTTGCTGCCCACTACATCGTTGAGGTCGATAGAACAGAATTTCCCATGCACAGCCCGTCACTTCTTCTGATAGTAGTTAAGCAACTTATGGTTCCATCAAATGCAGCTTTGCTTTTTAGCTCCTTTAAAGGAATTTTTGAAGAAATCAACAACATCAACAACCATCGATTGTGTCATTTTTGCATGTTGTAGCAATTTTTTCATTACCACTTCCACTGTATTTGTGCAGGATGAGTTGTAGGAAAACAATAGTATTGAGATGGAGGGTAGCTTTTCCACTGAATTTCTGCCAATGCTGACTCTTTGAATCCTAACTCCCTGAATCCTTTCTCGGAGGCTTCCTTTTTCTTCCAAATCCACATAACATTGCATCCTCATCACATTGAAATGGAAGTGTGGACCGGCTCTAACATCCATGACTGCATAGTGGACAGGTGCCACAGTTTGCCATATGCTATGAAAACCAACAAGACTTTACAGTAGGCGGCAGAATTAGGTATTTGGCAACTATGTAGTCACAGACATCAGTGAGGAGTGCATTCAGAACAGGTGTTGAATGTTAGAGGAAGGACGCCAACTTGTTAACTTTGTAAATGCTGCATCAGTTAGAGCCTAATCATTGCGCTTGGCTTGAACCACATAGCATGACAGCATTGAATGATTTGATGATACCATTTATTTCCATGAGACATGCTCTTATTTGTTGGTCATTCTGACAGTTCCGCAGGCAGATTCCTCAGCCCCAGCGGTTGTAGTCGACACGGCAAAGACGGCTATGTTTGACCCCTACAAGAAACCAGACCGATCGGACTCCAGCAATTCTGGCGTCATGCAGAGCTTTGGCCTAGAAAAGGAAGGTCAGGACAACTTGTTTTCATCACAATATTTCCCCATTCCAACAGCCCAGGACATTATTCCTGATGGGACCAAAGATTTCCCAGATATAACCCCATTCCGTTGTCCAATTGGAAAGTCAGTGATTTGGAAGGAGTCGGTGTACTTCAAATGTGTTTTAGCCGCAGCAACAACATAGGCCAACTTGACCCTCGGCCTACTTGTCCTGAATGTGCACCAGTGGGATTGTTTGAGTGACAACCATTTGTCCACCACTGGTTGTTTTTTGCCTGGTACCAGGAGTGTTTTTTTTGCACAGGTTAAACCAAGAGAGGGCGTTGTTTAACTACAGCATGGTCAGGCATTGCTTACTGTTCAATATCTATATCATATCCCACTCACCAGCATGCACAGTGCAAAACTTGCATTCAGTGGCCTTTCATTGCTTGGGCTGTGATGAATGCTTATAGTTTATTTTTTTTAACGCAATGAAACCTGCTTTCAGAGGATAGACCCAGCTCCCCGACAGGCAGCACAACCAGCCTAGGCTCCGCCCAGGGTATGCAGCAGATGACCCCCAGCCACCAGCAGTACGGTCAGAGCACCCAGGCACAACCCCAGGCCCAACCCCAGGCCCATCCCCAGACCCAACCCCAGGCCCAACCCCAGGCGCAGCAAACAGGCCAGCAACCAACCAGCATGCCTCAACCGTCTCAGTATCCTGGTAAGAATGGTTTCTTTCCCAAGTCCCTTGGCATTGTTTATCAGGAACCTTCCATGTAAACGTGATAGCAGCTTGATTCTACCCACGACTGCCTTAGAAAAAAATGGTTACCAAAGTAAAGGTCACTGCAGTTGGTATGGATTACTGTTCTATATTTAAAGACCGTTTCCTTTCAAGAGGTAAGCTCTTTGGGGGAATGTTCCTGGAAGTCTTGATTTTCAAATTTTGTCATCAATTGTCAGGGAAAAGAGAGGCCGATGAGACATTGATTCTCCAAAGCATCCAAGAACATGAAAGACAGAAACACGAGCTGCAATAAATTTGAAGTCTGTCCTAAGAATGGTTGGATTTATCAAGAACACTGAAACTGTTCTGCATCACAGGTACTGGACAGCAAGGCCAGTCAGGCTACGCTGCGTCTCCTCAAGGTGGATACCAGATGCCCCAGCAGCAACAACAGCAACAGCAACCTGCTACATCACATGCACCTGGGTATGGTGGCCAGCAACCAACCGCGCCATACAGCCAAGGTAACTTCCAACACTTGACTTGACCTCTGCATGCCCTCCCATAAGACCGATTGTAGTGAGTGAGACATCTGCACTTTCAAGCCAGTGGCTGTGGGTTCAAATCCACTCAGGGTATCCTGCAGATTCTGATCATAATGCACTGAGCACAGAGCTATACCTCGAGGTAGAACAGGCATATTCTAATTATACAGCATATTCTCACTGACCGTGGTACTAACAGTTAACTCGGCCACTCGGCTTTAGAATTATGCTGTTTGGTAAGAAAAGTGGTGGTAAGGTTTCCAGCTTTTTTTATGTTGCTTGTAAATTTTCCCAGCGGGGGCACTTTTGTTGATTGCAGGGCAGTATTTTAAAAAGGCCCCCATTGTCTTGGAGGTTAGTTCACAGGTCTAGGTCCCTCCAGCAAATATACAGTGGTGACAACGTCGTAATTTCATTTACGGGTAATTAATTTGAACTTCTTTTCTGCCAAATCCCTCAACCCAATAGGATACCCGCCACAGGCCTACGCGCCTACCTCACAACCTCAGCCGTACGGCGGACAGCAACAGCAGCAACAGCCGTCTCCTTACAGCCAGCAGCAGCAGCAGCCCCAGTACAACCCCCAGCAGCAAGGATATCCCCCTGCCCCAGGGGGTGCTGCCCCAGGGGGTGCTCCCCCAAGCGCCCCGGGGCCTGGTCAGGCCAACCCTTACGCCAGGAATTTACAATACGGCCGGCCGGCGGGCTACCCGCAACCTGGCTACAAGTAATGCCTTTTTTTAATAATGCATGCGGTTTGTCTGGATGATGTAATTTGTGTACATGTCATTTGTATGTGGGGGATTGTAGTGACTTGTGGCAGACACCGAAGTAACTTTTGTAAGCGAGAAAGGTAAAACAGCTCTGCTTGTGGCTTGCCTCTTCAACTCACAAAAACCCCTCTTTCAAATCCCACATGGGCGTCATTCAGCTGAAGTTGTCCATCTCGCCGTCTTCTTTTTAAGAGCTACTCAGAATTGCAACTCTTAAAACCCCGCCGTCTGGCATGCAAGATTCAAGTGTTCCCCAATCTTTCTCCAAAAAGCCTGGACCCACCCAACAGTCAGAGAGGGAAAAACCAGTCCACTTCTGTTCAAGAATCAATCAAGGGCACCCTGAG